GCCCCTGGGAGCTATAACTGAAGGACCATATTCCTTCTCCTTCTCCTCCCTTTAGTCCCCCTCTCCCCTGTGTTTTCTTTGAAACACGCTCCCATTTACTGGCAGGACTGTGTTGTTAACCTTTAGTGAAGACAGAAGATAGTCCTGGTTGTTATAACAGGCCCAACAAGGGAGAATAAAAAGAAAGCAGAAAGAATGGACTGTGAAGACTCCCCAGTGGTTGTGTCCTGCAACGTCTGTGCAATGTTTGTTTTCCTTTCCTGCCAACGTGGCCTACACCTACAGCCAGTGCAAGTTAGTAGCCCTTTTAGAAGAAAAAGTGAGAGCGCTAGAGCAGCAAGTGTCCACCTTAAAGGTAATAAAAGATTTTTGAAAATAGAGTGGTGGAATTGCCATAGCTAAGAGACTGCTAAAGCTAGAATTGCAATAGCAAGCTGAGGCAGAAGAGGAGAATCCTGAGGGAAGGGAAAATGAAGTCCCTGGAAAAGGGTGACAGGTGCAGAAGAACTAGAAGACCAACTGGTTTGTATTTGTTTTTATTGGGATCTTGTATTTATCAGTTCTTTAATTATGTTGTAAATTATTTTGTTTAGTTTTACTTATTGTTGTATTGAAATGTTTTGTTGATTGTTACTTTGCTATAATATATTGTATTATGTTTGGATTTTATTGAGTGTCAACCATTCAAAGAGCCAGCATAGCTGAGTGAATGGTATACAAATGTTTTCATAAATACATAATTACATAAATAAGATGTTCTGCACTAGTAGAAGCAGTAATACTATAGAACCACTTTCAGCTACTTGAGGATGAGACTGGAGGGCAGCCTGCTGTGAAAGAACTGCAAGACATCCCATGTGACACTGAACAAGAAGTTAACGGACAACCATGTGCTGGCAATGATACCAAGGCTTGCAAGAGCAAGGAGAGAAGAGTGTTAGTGGGTGGAGACTCCCTGTTATGTGGAATGGAAACACATGTATGTCAGGGTAACACAAGGACTCATCAGGTATGCTGTCTCCCTGCAACACAGATTAGTGATGTAACTGAGAAATTGCCAAGGCTCATACAGCCACTGACACGCATCCCTTCCTTCTTATATATGTGGGAACAAATGACACTGCCAAGCGGAGCTTTGAAGAATCACCTCAGCCTTTGGAGCTTTAGGAGGAAAGTCAAGAACTTTGGGGCCAGATAGTTTTCTCTTCAATCCTTCCAGTTTGTAGAAGAGGAATAGACAGGGAAAGAAAAACTGGCCAACTGAATGCCTGGCTATGAAGGTGGTGCTGATGTGAGATCTGGATTCTGGGACTATGGGCTACACTTCCTGGAAGATGGACTGCTGGCAAGGGATGGGTAGCACCTTACAAGAATTGCAAAAATGTGTTTGGTAACAGTATTAAGCTAATCAGGAAGACTTTAGACTGAATCCTACAGGGGAGGGGGAAGTACACCTAAGCATAAGAACAGACAAAGGCTTTTGCACCACAGTGGAGAGAGCATCTCTAACAGTGCCCAGTAATAGTCTTCCCGAAAATGTAGGAAGAAAGCTAGAATATAAAGCACATGGTCTTCAGTGTCTATATACTAATGCCCAGAGTGTGGGAAAACAACAGAATGAACTTGAACTCTTAATAAAGGAAGGTGAATACAACCTGATAGGTGTAATTGAAACTTGGTGGGATGACTGCCATGACTGGAATTCAGCAACTGAATTCAATAACCTGTTCAAGAAGAACAGAAGGAACAGCAAGGGAGGCAGAGCCACACAATACGTTAAGGATGTATATCTCTGCACAAAAATACAGAAAAATGTACTTAGTAGCCCCATCAAGAGCATCTGGAGCAATATAAATGGAACAAGGAATAAAAGGAAGACTGGTTGGAGTCTACTACTGAACACCCATTCAAGGAGAATACGAGGATAAAACTTTTGAAAAGCAGATTGCCAGTGTTTCAAGGAGCCATGGTGTTGTGGTTATGCGGGATTCAATTTCCCTGATACCTGTTGGGAGACAAATTCTGCCAAACATGGCCCCTCCAAGAGATTCCTGACATGTGTTGCTGATAACTTCCTCCAACAGAAATGGAGGAAGGAATAAGAATGGTTATCCTTGTCCTGATACTAACCAACAGGGAAGACCTGTTGTGGACCAAGTGGCAGTTATGGTAACTCTGGGGGAAAGTGACCATGCCATACTTGAATTCTTGATTCTAAAGGAAGCAAGAGCCAAGCACAGTTAAACGTGTATCCTACATTTTAGGAAAGCCAATTTTAATAAACTCAGATCAAGGCCAAGTAAAGTCCCATGGCAAGTTAGTCTAATGAGAAAGGAGTCCAAGTTGGGTGGGATTTATTTTTTTTCTTAAGGACATTCTAAAAGCGTAATCACAAACAATTTCAATAAGGAAAAATAGTAGAAGACAACAGAAGGAAGTCCATGTTGCTTCACAAAAAGCTTACAGTTGCCCTGAAAACAAACAAACAAACAAACAGGACATGTATAGGAAGTGGAAGGAAGGCTAGAATACAAAGGAAGAATACCACCAGGTTAGCATGGAATTGCAGGGTCGGCATCAGGGAGGCTAAAGCTAGGAATGAACTGAGGCTAGCGAGGGATGCTAAAAGCAACAACAAAGCCTTCTTCAGATATGACCAAAGGAAAAGGCAGAGGAAAGACATGGGGGTTCAGCTACTCAGTGTGGGTGGCAAAATGATAACAGATTACAAAGAAAAGGCAGATGCTCAATTCCCACTGTGGCTCAGTCTTCTCTCAGGATCTATGACCTTTCTGACGAAGGGGAAGTACAAACTGAAGGAGCAGGATGGCAGCTCAAGATTGAAAGGCAAACGGTCAAGGATCATCTAATTAGGTTGAAAGAGTTCAAATTTCTGGGGCTCAATGAACTCCATCCTAGAGTCATAAAGGAAATGGCAGAAGAACTCTCAGAAACAATGTCTATTATCTTTGAGGACTCATGGAGGACAGGGGTGTGCCAGATGACTGGAGAATTGCTAATGCTGTCCCCATTTTCAAGAAGGGAAAAAAGAAAAACCTGGGAATTACCAGTCAGTCAGTCTAACATCAGTCCCTGGGAAAATGCTAGAGTAGATTAGAAAGCAATTAGTCTGTTAACACCTTCAAAACAATGTAATGATTACTGGAAGTCAACAAAGATTGCTCAAGAACAAATGCTGCCAGATTAATCTGATTTCACTTTTTGACTGAGTGTGTGGGATGGACTGTGGAAGTGTTATGGATATAGTCTATCTTGACTTCAGCAAAGCTTTTGACAAAGTGCCCCTTGATATTCTGATTAGCAAACTAGCTAAAGTGGGCTGGGTGGAAAAACAATCAGGTGGATCCACAGTTGGCTACAGAATCAGACTCAAACAATGCTCATCAATGGCACCTTCTCCAAGTGGGGAGAGGTAACAAGCAGGGTACCACAGGGTGCAGTCCTGGGCTCTTCAACGTTTTAATTAATGATTCGAATGAGGAAGTGCAGGGAACAATTACCAAATTTGCAGGTGATACAAAACTGGGTGGGATAGCTAATACTCTGAAAGACAGAAACAAGATGCAAGGTGATCTTGGAGCACTGGGCTGAAAGCAACCAAATTAAATTCAGTTGGAACATATGCCGAGTTCTGCACCTGGGAAAAAGAAACCAAATGCACTGAAAGATGGGGAGTACTTGGCTCAACATTACTGCAAGTGAGAAGGATCTTGGCATTGTGGATCACAAGCTGAATATGGGTCAACAATGTGATGTAGCTGCAAAAAAGGCGAATGCTATTTTAGGCTGCATTAACAGAAGCATCAGTTCCAAGTCCCATGAATTACTAGTCCCCCTTTTCCCAGCACTGGTTAGGCCTCACCTGGAGTACTGTGTCCAGTTCTGGGCACCACAGTTTAAGGAAGATGCAGACAAGCTGGAAAAGGTTCAGATGAGAGAAACAAAGATAATCTGGGGACTGGAGACTAGGCCCTATGAGGAGAGATTGAAAGAACTGGGCATGTTTAACCTTGAGAAGAGAAGACAGAGGGGGGATACAATAGCATGCTACAAGTACTTGAAAGGCTGTCACAAAGGAGAACAGGATATCAATCATCCCAGAGTGCAGGACACTGAATTAAGGGCTCAAGTTACATGAAGCCAGATTCTGGCTAGACCTCAGGAAAAAATTACTGACTATTAGAATGGTACAGCAATGGAACCAATAACCAGGGGAGGCCGTGGGCTCTCCCACACTGGAGGCATTCAAGGTGCCACTTAACAGCCATCTGAGAGGGATGGTTTAACAGGGGGTTGTACCCAGGGGTCTTCTGGCCCCCTCCAACTCTACTCTTCTGTGATTTTATGTCTCCATTGGCCCTGCTGGCTGGGAATTGGGGGGGGGGGGAGTTGCATCCCCAATACATTTGGAGTGCTCCAAATGGAGGAAAACTGACCTATGTTCCAGGCTCCCTTTCCTGAGGACACCACCTACAAGGTAAAGCAGCCTGCTATTGCGTTACTGCACAGATGTACAGTTTGGAAACCCAACCATGCTCTTCTCTGTATTTTCATGTGTTTCAGTGGTTCAGGTAGCTAACATGGACCTTAAGCACTGCACTGCCTCAGCACCATCTTGTTGCACCCAAGCAGTAGAGGATACGAGGCCATGCTGAGTGAAACCAGGCCCTCTTGTCACCCAGTTCTCCAGGAAGTGCTGATACAAGGAAACCCACAACCACCTGCTGTGACCTCTGTCCAACTATGGAGAGTTCAGGTTTGTGTTTGCTATAAAAACAAAATTGACTAGGTGGGAAGAATTTTCCTTCCACCACCCCTGCTCAACTGAGCAAAGGACAGAATAAATTTCAGAGGGGTAGGTGTGTTGGTAGTCTGATGCAGCAAACATGCAAGGAAAGAGTCTCAAAGAGTCTACTCTTGAAAATTAACAGATTTATAGTACCATAAGCCTTTGTGTACTCAAGCACACTTCATCAGATGGAAGCTTTTCACAGCAATACTGGTGGCAAAATGAAACTAAACTGTCACCCCAATAAAGAAAACTTAGACACGATTAGGCTTTGGACTATTGGAATGAACCTACATTGCCAGGGTCCTGTATCCCACCCGCAGGAAGAAGGATTTCATACCAGTCATATCCTGATTCTTCCTTTATCAAGAATGTGTGGATATTTTCCAGAGGAGTAAAATGATTCAAGTTGTACCATCTGCTAGTAAATTTATCACTCTGTTTAGACACTCTTACACAGGGGGTTAATATCAGAGGTGGTGTTGCTATAGTGAAAACAGCCTGTATACTTGGTGCTGTTCTATTTCCACTGGAAGTCTGAGTGAGAAGGAACTCTTTGGTGCACGACTATTTTCTGCTGCTTGTATTTTATGTACTGCCTGGACATGTACCTGATCCAACAGGAGTTGACAACACTAGTGGCATAGCATTGTAGGTATCCTTTGGTTGATGCAGTTATATATATTTGAGCCAAAAAGTCAGGTTGGTAAGTTAGCAAGAATGGGGAGATGCTGAATCACCCTAGTTTCACACATTGTGTTTCTCTCCTGCTTCAAGCGGTTGAGTCAGACATTCTCCGGAGTGTGCACGCCCTTCTCCGAGAGCTCGATGGCCACCATCCAGCCTTCCAGAGTGAGAGAGGTAAGGCCAGTGGCTGCTCTGATCCACATGGTGACTGAGCTCTTGAGAGACTTTGCTTGGTGTGCCCTTGAGCTCCATCCCCACAGCAAGTTACAGCAGAGGAAAGTTGGATCCACCATGCCTGGCTAGCTATGGCAGCATCCCCTGTTCATCTGGTATTTGTCTTGTTAGTTGCTCACACGGGAGTATAAGAATGGGTCCCTGCCCTGATTCCCGGTGTCAGAACTTTGCCAGAGTCTTTTTCTTACTGGAAACAAATGTCAGAGGACGAGCCATAGCTTAATGCTAAAGATGAGGCTTTGCAAGTCTGAAAGGCCCCTGTGCTGAATTCCTGGTTTCTCCAGTTAAGATCATTCAGACAGCGAAGCAACAGGAAATGGGGAACTGCCACCTGGGCTAGGACAGAGGCAGGGTATGGGGACTTTTGGCAATTTGCCAAACTCTTCTGGGCATGAACACAACATGGCTGCATAGGGAGGTGTGGCGGGCCACAAATCCTGCTCAGATGACTGAGTACAAGGCAGAGGGGGGATCTGAATTTAACACACAAAACAGTTCCCATGATCCCACACTTTCCATAGCTGAAAGACATTTTTTCCACAGAACACAAACTCTTTTTCCCTCCAATCTCCCTTGCCAGCACTTATTTCCTCTCACTGTCTCATACACTCTCTTTCTTCCCATCCTGACTCCCCACCGATAAAGACACCCCCTGCATACACACACACACCATTATGATTGCACATGTGCTTATTCACACATCTGTCTTTTTGCTCCTCACTGTAAGCACATGAAAAATTTCATTTGTTCTTTTTCAGGATCTCTCCCCCTCACCATTCCCTTTTAGTTCCATCCCTCTTTCTAGCCCACATGCGGCCCCATCCAATCAGATGCACCAGCAGAGAACCCTTCACAAACAGCCAGGTTATTCCAGCTGGCTCCCCCAGCCCTGGCTGGCCTCCTGCTGCACGGGCTTCCTGCTGACCTCACTCCCTGAGACAAAACAAGTCTTGATGGAGAGGCAATCAGATGTTTTTCCCTGCCATTTTTTCCATTCCCGCTCCTTGGCCTTCACATCTCTAATTTCTCCTTTGCTATTTTCAGTCTCTGTGCTAGATTGGCACCTGTGTTTATGCCATGTCCTGTCCATGGTGTTAGAAATGGTGCCTCAGCATCTCCAGGTACAACAGAAAACGCTCCTGCCTGGAATCCTGGCATGCCATGGCTGCCAGTCAGTGTCAAACATACTGGTTTAGATGGACCAAGGGTCTGACTCAGTGTAAGGCAACGTCTGGTGATTTTTGACCTAATGGATGTAAGCTTGACAGTTGTTTTGGCACTGGTCTCCCAGGGATGCTGCGATGGACTTTGCACAAGAAAATTGACAGGAATCCCAGTAATGGTGCCGTCCTGATCAAAATCTTGGTGAAGGAACTGGAAAAGGTGAGAGCGATCCGCAGAAAGAAAAGAGCGGGTTGGGTGCAGGCTTGGCAGCAGAGAGCTACTCTTTCTTGTGGCTATGAAACTGTAGTTCATGACTTGGCCACTGTTCTGCTGCTTCAGAGAAGCATCAGGCTGGTGGTAGGTCCAGTTATTTGGGCATCACAACTCATAGGAAAAAGTCAGTCATGTTGTCTTGGATTCCACTGCAGCCCACAAAGGTCTTTCGACATGCTCCATCCACCCAAACATAAAGCAGGCCCAGCCGTGACTGACTTCTGCGATGAGCAGCCTGTTTCCCTTTGTTTCCAGTATGTTTAGAATACCACCAAGGGACTGAACATCACAAGTCCCATGGTCTGGAATTTTTTAGGTGCTTTATGTATGCTTTCTCCAAAGAGAGTTTAACCTGCTCTTCAAGTGAGAGCCTCTCAAATGTAAGTGATGATGTCAGGACTCATTGCTTTCGCCGTGCACCCGCCATCCACCCAGAGGAGGGTCGCAGCCTAGCTCAATGCATCTTCATCTCCTCTGCTGTGTCTTGAGGCTCGCAATGCCAGCCGTTAAAGGAGTGGAAATAAGAGCACATGCTGCTTGCCAGACTTCTGTTTTGCACTGAGTATTATGCCACGTTGTTGCACTGGATCTGTATTGGGACTGATGCTTGGGAATGTATCTTAAGTGATCTGGAACTAGGGGTAAGCAGTCAGGTGGCCAGATCCAGGATCTCTTCTCTGGAGAATGCTATGCATAACCGTTTGCTTTCTTCAGGCAGAAAGATGCAACTATCATCAATACATCATCCCCTTGCTTCACACGCTGATGTACACACTGATAAAGGTGAGGACCTCGTTTTATGGAGCTGTAGCATCCCGGAAATTCAGGGCTGGTGTGGATGGGCCAGATTGGGGTGTGGCCAATCAGCATGGCCTGACTTGCTGAGCGTTTGCCTTGGAGACTCTTTTGAAAGCCAGGTGGGAACACGCAAAGGAACTTCTTGTTCTTTCTACAGTCCCCACATGCAGTGGGGGCGGGGGGGGGAGGTGGAGTGGCATTTAAAGAAACAAGTAGCTAGGTGGCAGAGCTGAATCTCCGTGTGGATCAATGGTCCACATGCTTCCATTACAATAAAAACTATTACAATCCTCTACATGCTATGCATTTAATGTAGTTTAGCCCACTGTGTACTTGCATTTATGGACTCAGATATTTTTGACTGGTTGTGCTTCCCTCTGCTATTCTAGCCATGGTTTATAAAGAACTGATTCATGATCTCCTTAAAACCTTAAGCAGTAAAATGGAAAGAATAAGAGCACGGCTTTGGAAACCAGATGGCAGATTGCCTGCTCATAAGCGGAGATTCTATAGCACTTCAATCTGCTGTCAGCATGCGTACAACATCCATAATTCATGTGCTACTAACAGCAAGACACATAAACCATGTCTAGCATAAGGAAACACTTGGCGCAGAGGCAGCAGTGATCTGAAGCAAATAGAAGGAAGCATTGCACATAATCTCTGCCCTCTCCATATTTGTGGATGTTAAGAAAAAGGGGTGGAGATAAAACTGCAAGGGAGGACTGACACGAGCTTCTTTGGTGATGTATTAAAAGGAATCCAGAAACAAACCTGTTTGGAAATCTGCACATGTTCAGAGGCAAGTGACTCAAGGTTGAGCACTGCCCTTCAGAAGTGATCCGGAACAGCTCCTTTGAGTGGGCCATTGACTTTCCCTGAAGCCTGCTCTCTGTTACACTCTTGCCCAGGGGGGGAAAGGGTGGGGACTGGCTAGAAGCAAACTGCTTGATGTGGCAATTGGGCCCATGTCCCAGAAGAGGGGAAGAGTCAGCCTCTTTTTAAACTACGGCTGCAGCAACTGCTTGTTTGGCTGAGGGGCAATGATAGAGAAGTGTGGCTGTTTCGATCACCATCTCCTCCCCTTCCACCTGAATGCTTGTTGCTTATTTTCCCACAGTGCACAAAAGCCACAGTTCCTCCAGGTCTGTGTAAATCAGCTTCCTAGTTCATTCAGCTTCCTAGTTCTGTACAAGTGAATTGTAACTGAATTCTGCAACCTAAGATCTTGGAGAGAGGTGGGGTACATTCGTATTGTACAAGCTGCTCTTAGTCATAATTATTCAGATCTCTGGCTGACTGTTTTTTACCCATGAGAGGGAAAAATACAAGGAAGCATTGGGTTACATATTTTAGCCACTGCTCTTTGTTCATATAGTTCCTATCATAATGTAAGATTCCCCAAGGCAATGAGAATAGACTGGTAGAGAAAACAAATGCATTTATGCTGCAGATCTCTCTGCTAAAGCAAGCCTATAGACCCTGATCAAATAATTTCAATGAGTTTGCAAATAATTCATTTGCTCTGTTCCTTTAGAGTGAATCCAGATTTAGTCCAACAGCATGTATGAACAGGCTCAGTTTTCAAGGGTCATTATTCAATTGAGACATTGATATCAGGTGAATTTGGCTGCTGGCCTTCAGCTCTGTTGTAGTTGTTCTTGTAGAACTTTCTCTGGCTTCAAAGCCTCCAGTTAACCAATTTCTGCTGAAAAATTCTCTCCTTTTGCTGCTCCAGGCACCCTGCATCCCTGATGAGCTGTACGAGAGGGTGTATGATTTCTGCAAGAAGTTACTCACGCTGCCCAAACCTTACTGCACCATTGGCCTGGATTACGCTCGGCAGCTAAAACTGGAACGCACAATTCCAGGTCTGCAGTATTCCATGTTCCTTTTGGTTTAATTTCTTCAATTCTTCAGAGCTCAGGGAGTGCAGGAGCACTGCCCTTTGACACAGAGACCCAGGCCAAGCGTTTTTATTGGCATTGTCATGCCTGACTCACTGGCGTGCCACATGATGCTCACCCAGACTCCTCCTCACACTGCTTCTGTTATGATGCCCTGGATTTCTTCAGACTGGTTATGTCATGACTTGTTTTACATGTGGCAGTTTTTCCAAGGTACATACTCCAGTGTGGACTAAACTTCTGTTCTGGGGTGTGAGAGGAACAGTGGCTTCAGCAACCAGATGAGTGGGATTGCAAGGTCCAGCCTGACCAGTCTTCGGTTTCCTTTTCTGCCTCCCTCACCCTCTGCCCACAGTTTTCCTCGCTCTGTCTCTCTTTACCCTTCCCGCTGACCTGCAGGGTAGATGCAGTGCTGCTTTCCCTCCCCTCCCTTGTTGGGAACAACTGCATGTCTGCTCAGAAGTAAATGGCTTCCTCTTCAGTGGTGCTTACTGTGAAGTCAACCACATGGACTTCAGTGGTGCTTGTTCTTGGGAAAGTCAGCATGGGAGAGGAGCTGCGCTTGTTTTTGGGAATTGCTTTTAGATGGAGGGGAGTGGGGTATGGATCCCCCTGGCTTCATAGAATGGGAGATGGAGAATGGCAGCTAGCAGCACCCCATTTCTTGTAGGAAATGTACATGTGTACAGTCCCATATTTTTAAAAATCACACATCAGCTTTAGGTGCATGCTATGGAGGGAAGCTCTAACAGGAGGTGGATTACCCTTTGGCATGCTCATGAAGTCAAATAAACAAGTGTGCACTCTTCAGACCTGGGAAGTGTGCTGCAAGCTCTGTGAGTAAAAGAACCTTTTCTTCTTAGGGTAGAACCAAACATTCTTTCAGACTTTTCTTCAAAGGACTCTGGAGACTAAGTCCTACAAGGAAAGATCAAAGGAACTGAGTAGCTTAAGCCAGAAGAAGAGAAGATGGAGAGGGAAGCAATAGTGCTTCTCACATACTGAAAGGGTTGTCACAGCAAGGAACATCAAACCAATTCTCTGTTACCCAAGACGGAAGGACATGAAATAATGGGCAAAAGATGCAGGAAGGCAGATTTTGGTTGACTATCAAGAAGAAGGGTCAGGGCAGTCAGATAATGAATCCAGCTGCCTAGGAAGGTGGCAAATTCTCTATTATTTGAGATATTCAAGCAGACTGGACAACATTAGGCAGGGATGCTTTAAAGTGAATCCCTACACTGAGCAGGGGGCTGGACTTGAAGGATTAAAATTCACAATCCTTTGAATTCTGTGATGCTACGAACTGAATGTATGGCTAGTTCACAGATTGTTGGGGTTCTGTTAATGATCAACCAATTATCATTCATTTTGTGTACTGTATTTTTACCACTGGGTGGTGGTGGAGTGCAATTTTGGATTTTCTGTCATAGACACCAAAATGTCTCTGGCCAAATGTTACAATATAGCCTTCTGCCAGTTAGTGGAAACCTGCTGCTGATTCATTTCTGGAGGAAACAAAAGGAAGCACATGTTTGAGTGGTTCCTTTCCAGGTCACTGACTGGCACTGGATCAAAAATGTTGCTTAAGATCATTTCATTAGAATGCTGAGGAAAGAACTGTTCGTTCGGGAAATTTATTTATTTATTTAGGGAACTTCTATGCCGCCCCATTCGCCGAAGCCTCGGGGCGGCTCACAACCATAAATAAATAACATCCTATAAAACAATATAATTTAACAGTATAAATTAAGTCGCCCTGGCCAAAGAATGAAATAAATAAATAATATTAACAATTAAAATAACGTTTGAATAAAAAGATCTTCACCTGGCGCCAAAAAACAAATAATGACGGCACCAGGAGGACCTCTCTGGGGAGCACATTCCATGGATTGGGCGCCACCACAGAGAAAGCCCTCCTCCGGGTACTTACCCTCCTAATTTCCTTCATGGAGGGCTCCCGGAGAAGGGCCTCTCCCGCAGATCTCAAGGGGTGAGCGGGTGGGCACATATGGACGTAAGCGCTCCTTCAGGTAACCTGAAATGCAACCTGTAACTGTGCATTCAAGAAATGTGGAACCTGTCAGGAAATGCTTCCGCATGGTTATGGAGATGATAGTTGTGTGGAGCTCCCAAGTTTTCATACTAGCACAGCCAGGGACATCTGTGTTGGCACAAAATATGTAATCCAGAGGATTTTCTTGTTAAGAGCCTGAGTAAGTTCACTTAGATTTGCCATCATGTGGAAGGGTTTCCTGGTAAATTCTCTATGGCTGTTGAAATAAATCCGTGCCGTGTTCCCTTTGCGCACTGGTATCTTTCCTTCGAAATTGCTTTTCCGTATTCATGGTGCAGAGCAGCTTGCACCCACAGTTTTAGACCTGGTTTCCTTTTAAGTCAACATCACAATAATAGCTTTATCAGTTGTTCAATATGGCAGCAGCCAGTGCTCAGCCCTTTCCATTTTGATAGCTAGCTGACTGTTTGTTTTGCTCATTAGGTGTATTGTACCAAAGAATGGTCTCTGCGGAGCAAAGTCTTAAGAACGACTCCTTCCCTTACCAGGAAAAGTAAGTACTGAGCATCCCGCCTGCCTTTTCAATGTGCCAGTTTAATTCTGCAGCTAAATGTTCCAAGTCTGCTTTGTCCTGAATTGGGCATTTCTAATTGCTGGAGAGAGAATTTGGAAAGTGTGCACAGAATAGAATAACAGCACAAGGCCAGAACTTCATGCATGTCTATAAGAGATGTCAACATGCCTCATGATGTGTGTTGCACACCCTGCGTGATGCACATCCTGACATATATGGACCTCCCTTAGGAGCACGGCTGAGTGGCAAAGAGTTTGCACAGTGCACTGGCGTGCGTTCTGGCCTTTAACTTTCATGCCCCAAGGGATGCAGCTTCCAGTTGCTAGAATCTGCTGTGCAGCAGACTCATTTAAAAGAAGCCACTGAGGTTACCTCTAAATACACCTCTCAGCTCTGTGCATCATGATTGCTGTGGGAAATACCAGCTTTATGCCAATTTCCCTGCAGCAGGGCCATATGGATGGCGTATGTGCTTGTCTGCACTTTTAAAACAGCAACATGTGTGAGCACCAGCGAACCCTGGATGAATGAGGTATTCAAGATGCATGTGCACACATTTAAAGAGATGTGTGTAATTTTACAGGTATTATGCCGCATGTTCACTGCAGAAAAATGCCAATCCAGCCCCAGGGCCATCCTAATGTAAGGACCTGTCCTTGTTCTGATTTCTGTGAATTAGCCAACATTCTGTTGTAAGATGGACATACAGCTTTTCTTCCAGGCTTATTAACTTTTGCCTAGTGCATACTATCTTCTCTGTTAACCATTTCTTCTTAGGCCATGTAACTTAACTCTTCCTTTCCCCAGGGTTTTCATGTTTGCTGCTCCAGATTTGCTCTCAGAGGCTGTATGCCGGGCACTCATTGATGAAATCAGGGCTGCACAGATGTTCCAGAGTACCAAGTCATGCATGTTGTATGTGATAGAACATGCCTTCCAAGCTGTGTTGAAGGAACGCTGTGATGTTAGGAGCTTGCGCAGCCTTCTTCAGGTAATGCCAAGAGATCAGAACCGCTGTGGCAGCTTCATAGAATCATAGACTAGTATGGTTGGAAGGGGCCGTGAAGGCCATCAAGCCCAACCCCCTGCTGTTGCATGTTGCCAGTTTACACCATCCCACTCAGAAGACTGTCCAGTTTTGCTTTGAATGTCTGTAGTATGGAAAGCCCATGACCTCCCTTGGCAACTGGTTCCACTGTTGTATTGCTCTGACAGTTAGGAATCTTTTCCTGATATCTAGCTTGAATCTGGGTTGAATCTAAAAACTTGGGATTTTTAGATTTTGTCAGGTCACTTGATGAAAAATTAAGGGCACAATCCCATGCATGGTTAGACAGAAAAAAGTCCTACGACTGCCAGCATGCTCTAGCCAGCAGCACTTTTCTTTCTGTCTAAACATGCAATGGTTTGCACTGTGTCTGAACTACATGTAGTTCATTTCTGGGGCAGCAGGCATTTGGACATTAGTTTTGGCCTAATTGTGGGCTGCTTTCTGGCAGTCCAGCTAGGCTGTGAAAGGTATGACTGCCCCATCCTACTGCCTGCACCCCCCCCCGCCCCCTGCCCCCAGCAGATCAGGGGATTAAGACTGCTCTGCCCAACCACTGAACTTTTCCAATAGCTTTGGTTGTTGCCACTGGGAAAGCGTGTAAGATCCTGCCATTATGCAGTTTAGACCGCAAACCTTTTGGGAAAATACTCAGACTTGCATGTGTTCGAGTCTTTGAGATGTTTTGATTTGTTGCATTATTGATTCCTTTGAAGAGCTTTTCCCAAAATGTCTCTGTCAGAGCATGTGACCAGATGTGGACAACTCCATCTTGATTCATCCCACCAACATGTCTTTGGAGTTGTTTTGCAAATCTGTTGTGGTTTTATTGCGGATATATGGGAGTACTTTAAGGCTCCAGTCCTCCTCCCATTTTCCTTGGAATAAGGCCACTGGACTCCATTGCATCTGAATAGGCCCATCAAGGATTGCTCTGTTAAAGCTGAATCCTTTGCATTTATTGCCTTCATTAAGCCAGATTTTTTGAATCCCCAATTATCCTGAAAGGATTAGTATTTTAACAAGATTTGTTGGGGCATAGCTGGGGATAGGGAGCTTACAAAATAGCATGTAGAAATTACTTCCCAAGTCATAAAAGTCGTTAAAAAGAAAAGGGTTCTCAAAGAAATACTTCAACTGAAGCAAACAAACAAGTTTTAAAATTACCTTGAGAAACCTGATAGCTGTGTTGTCTGAGGTTACAAGTTCACCAACTTTTCCATGTGTTCATACCGGTCCAGTGACAGAACTATTTTCTGGTTAGGCAAAGCTGAATATTGGGAGAGTAACTGAAGCACAGTATCTAAATCTGCTTGGTGGTTTAAAATAAAAACATAACAATGCAAGCAAATGGGTTTTGCAGCTATGAACTTTATTCCAGCAATTACTAATATTGATTCCTTCACCCTGTGACAGGCTAAGCCATTAGATGTGACTGAGCACTATTTTCAGCAAGTGATGGCAGCCACTGAGCATACAGGAAGAGAAATGAGCGCAGAGTGCAGTCGATATGTGGAAGAACTGGGAAAAATCTACAGTACTTTGCTGAGTGCTTCAGAGGCAGGTAAGCAGAGCTTGAACAGACCGGGATGAAAAGAGGCCCCCTGCTTTCTCCTAGTATTGGGTCCTGGGCAACTCTGATGCTTTCTGCCATGGGCTTACCTTCTCCCAGCGTCTGAAGCAATGAATATTGGCATGTGTCTCTAACTCGGTGCAGGGGGAGTGATGCACCAGTTAATGAGGGCATTGGTGTAGTAACTGAGAGGATGGAAAAGGAATTGCATACTCAAAAGCTCATATCTTAGTTTGGTATCCTGTTCAGAACTGGCCCCTTGTGTAGAGATTTTGCAGCCCCTGCCACCAGAAAGGGTGGGCAAAAGAATGGAAGATGTATGACTCTCGGGAGTGGCCTTCCACAACATGTAGCCTTACAAATTGAGTAGCGCTACTGTTCTCAGCTATCCTTACCATTGGCCATTCTGTCTAGGGCTGGTGAGAGTTGAATTCCAAAGCATCTGGAGAGCACCAGGTTGGGGAAGGCTGCACAGATCTGAGACAAGGAAGTAAATGGAGCTGGTGCAAAGTATAGATTGGTTATAAGTGCATAGGAGGAAGTGATGGAAATGTGTGTGATGAAAACGCATGATGAAAAGGTGTGTACACACACGCGTGCACACTCCTGCCTCCAAATCAATAAAGGAGGAAATCATATGTTTCCTGTACATACTTCAAAGGAATCAATCCTATGCATATTCAGACAGAAAAAAATATCCCTGATTCCCAGCATTCCCCAGCTAGTACTGTTGGCTAGGAAACCTGGGACCTGTGTCTGGTTCTGGGCACCAAGATTTAAGAAAGATGCAGGAAAATTAGAAAGGGTCCAGAGGAGGGCAACAAAAATGACCCAGGCTTTGGAAACACTGCCCTGTGAGGAGAGGCTGAGAGAACTGGGCATGTTCAGCCTTGAGAAGACTGAAGGGGGATATGATATCCCCCTATAAGTACCTCAAAGGCTGTCACAAAGAGGAAGGTCAAGATCTCATCTCACTGATGCCAGAGTGTAGGACATGAAATAATCAATTCAAGTTGTGACAACCCAGATTCAGACTGGACACCAGGAAAAGCTTCCTCACTGTCAGAGCAATACGACAGTGGAACCAGTTGACTGGAGAGGTGGTGGGCTTTCCCACACTAGAGACATTCAAACAGAGACTGAACAGCCACCTGAGTGGGATGGTGTAACGTGGTGTCCTGCAACAGCAGGGGGTTGGACCCGATGGCCTTCATGGCCCCTTCCAACTCTACTATTCCATGATTCTATGACATTTTTCTGTCTAAACATGCATATGGTTGCTCCCTTAGTTTGGAATATCATCGCTCTTGTATGCTAACATCATGTAATAGCTCTTTTAGATTGTCCATCAGGCAACTGTGCTAAATAAAACCTAGGGGCTTTCTCAGCATGAAAGAAGCTGTTCACTGGCCACTTGTTAGCCCCTGGTTCACATTTTCCTACATTAACCCTGTTATAGGGGGCTCGATATGAGGCTTTTCATTGGACAAAGCAGGGCAGCTGAACAGCAGCATTTCCCAGAAGTCTGTGTACTTTAACTTCACACCTGTTTCCCTCTGGTGTGGTGCTGACTCTCCGCTTTTGCTCCTCAGGTCTGCATTAAACATCCCAACATGGGTAAATTAATGATCCATTCTCTGTGTTCTACAGGTGTAGAGACGACTGCAGTAGAAGGCAGTCCTGGCATCCCTCTACCCAACCCTAACATCAGCTTCCACCTGTGGCGAGATGAAGACCAGCTCTGTAAGTGCCTGAAGGCTGACACAGTTCATGACTTGTAGCCAATGAGCAGAAAAGGAAACATTTCCATTTCCCCTGGGAGGAGCTCTTCATCCTTTTGACTCTGTGACAGAGATGAAGGGTAGTTTTATTCCAAGTATAAAGTCCTTGTGGACACTAGGAAACACCATAGGTGAAATGTTTACAGACTTCTTTCTGCCTAAACATGCAAATAATCACACCCTTACTGTAGTTTAGTCATTTTATTCTATACCCTTATTGCACCCATCAATTAAAAAAACCACCACTGCCCTCTTTTGTGCATAGGGCCAAACTACCTGTTTCCAATTATGCTTCTTTAAACAGTTTTTTGAAGAAAAAGCAGCTGCAGGGGCCTAGGGCAAATAAATAGTAGTGGCCAGTATAAGCACTCTTGAAAAAATAGTGTGCTTATTATAACATAGGAAACATAGAAAAACATAGGAAAATCAGCCTTTCATGGAGAAGAGTAAAATAGAAATCTATCCTGGCAGGGCAGCTTTCTATGTGCCAAGAGGTCCTTCCCTTTCAAAGTGGGGGAGATAATAAACCTGGAAACCTTTTACAGTCCCAGGAAGGAGGGTAATGTTTTTCTCTCTGAATGTTTTGATTAGCTCTAACAATCTGAACATAAATGGCATGAATCAATAAAATGGTATTTTGTGTCAGCAGGTTTGCTGCTACACTAGATTAAGACATGTTGTGTATGTGCACAAAGTGGGCAATCACCCGGCCCAGCATGGCTGCAAGCCTTGAAGGGCCATTGACAAGACGCCCCTAATGAGCGCTTCCTTTGGCGGGTTGCCCTTCTCACTGGCTGCTCTTGGTCCTCCTGCTCTCCCTCATCATCACTTGACAGGCACGGAGCCAAGGAGCACAGAGGCTGGGGCGTCTCGGGTTCTTCCTCCTCACCACTGCTGCTGCCTGGGCCAGATGGCAAAGCAGAGATGCAGGTGAACAAGAGGGGGAGCAAATCCCTTCTCGGCAGGGGCTCTCGGTGGATGCTTGACCATGCCTACCCTTACCACCGCCCTGGCTGCTGCTGGTTGCCAGTCCTGAGTCTGGCCTGGGGATGTGGTCAAAACCAGATTGCTGGCACATGGCCACACTGTAGCTTGCCAGGCTCCAGGCTTTAGTGTGGGTCTTCCAAAACACCTCACAGCCATTCTCTTGTTTCAGGGAGGGAATTGGTGCTGTTCCTTCGCTCACCGAGCCAGTCCTGCGAACAGGATTCTCTGAGTCCAGAACTGGATAGCTTTGAATTTCAAGACATGATGCCAGACTATGACTGCTATGAGCACACACGTTTCTCGGTGCTCTCCACGGACAGTGGAATTGAGCGGGACCTGCCCACTCCAGGGGATGAAATTCCAGCTTCTTGCAGCGCTGAGGCTGAGCACTCCCGGCTCCAGAGGAAGGGCTGTGTGAAGAAGAGGGGCTCTTCACTGGATAGCATTGCCTTCCTGCAGAGTGGCTGCAATGGGCAGGGGACAAAGCCTTCTGGGAAGCTGCACCGGAAATCGGGTGGTAGCACCATGGAACCAATGGCACCCATGAAAAGATGGCACACGGCTCGAGTCTTGGTGCTGGGCGATGACAGAGTTTTGGGTCGCCTCGCCCAGGCCTATTACTCCATGAGGTAAGTGTAACGCCAACTGTCATCCCAGCATCTGTCTTTTTACGAAAACTGCAGTATCAGGTGGTGCAGCGGTTTAAACCGCTGTGCTGCTGAGCTGGTTGATCAAAAGGCCGCCGGTTCGAATCTGCACAACAGGGTAAATTCCCGTTGCTCTGTCCCAGCTCCTGCCAACCTTGCAGTTTGAAAGCATGCAAATGCAAGTAGATAAAAAGGTACCACTTCGGTGGGCAGGTAACAGCATTCCGTGCACTTGGGTGTTCAGTCATGCCGGCCACATGACCATGGAGACTGTCTGCAGACAAACACTGGCTCCCTCTGCTAGGAAACGGAGATGAGCACCACCCCCCAGAGTCAGGCATGACTGGACTTAATGTCAAGGGGAAACCTTTACCTTTCCCTTACAATATCACAGCTAGGCATCCCCAAGCTTTTTCCTGTTCCATACAAAACAGGGAGCCAAAGTTATCTCCTGCTTGCTAGTCCCCTTCTTTCCAGTACACCTGCTTCTTATCATTAGCGCTTCTTAGCCCAAAAGATGGTGAATGGATCTTCCATTCCATGTGCAACTTTTCCCACTGACAAAGCAGGACAAACTGTTCCCCTGCCCCCAAATAAATAATGATAAAAAGACTTTCTTTAGTTTCGGATTTTCAACCCAAAGGCCAAAATCCACACCCCACAGATGGCCTCCACAGACCTTAAGGGCCATTTTGTCCCCTCATTCCCAGGAAGCGGGAGAGCCGGCGTGTGTTCCTTACACGAAGGCTAAAAGTCCAGTTCTACTATGTGCCTGTCCTGGAGGAACACTCCACCTCTTCACCAGCTGAGGTGAGTGGATTGGGGCCGTGTGGAGAAGAGCATGGCTGGATTGTGGGGTGGGTGGAGATCCTTTTCCCGCCACAATGCTGCGCTCTGAGTGCATTGAGCTCGTGTGGTGCTGAGTGCCCCTGTCCCTCTTCTTCCAGGAGAGTGCTCTGCCTGACCAGACAGAGCCTTGTGAGTTGGCTGCTTATCTTGGAAGAGCGGATCCATGGTACGAGAGCAACATTAACACCCTCTGTCACATGATCCCGAAGCTGGCCACCATGGTAGGAGAGGAGCCCTTTCTTCTGCTTGTATTCCTCAGAAACATCCGCGAGACTTCTTGGCATGTGTCTCAAATAGAGAAAGAAACCAGCAGCAATTTCCATCACAGAGGCTGGTACTTGCTCAGAAATACGCTTCCACCTGATAAGGCTACCAAGGAATCCTGTTTCTACACTGACATCTAATTCCATTTACATCAGTGGGGAAGAAAGACTAGTTCCTTCTTCCCAACACGTACTCCTATCTTTGTCTTTCCTGGGTTATTAAAACGTCCTGGCTTCATACAGGAAAGGCATCTCTCTTGTGTAGTCATGCACATGCTGGGTGAAATAGGTCAATTGCTCAGCCGGCACCGTTCTTGCTCTTGGTCCCCCAGTTCCCTTAATACCTGTTAGAAACAGCAGCTGCCTGTAGAGATGTTTAGGCTGATGCAACCATCTTTGACCCCACACAGCCCTCTTCTACAAGCAAGCCTGCCATTTCCGATCTGTTCATCATTGATGCGATTGCATACTACGTGCGCTTGGGCTTGCAGCCAGTCTTCTTCCAAGTATATGCAGTGAAGGTCAGTGCCCGCTTCCGGTCCTCAAAGCACTGCAGTGGGATTGGACAAAAGTTGTGTCCCTGCCACATTTCACCCAGGCAGGAGTCCTGAGGCCCTTTTTCTCCCTTTCAGTTTCTCTTCAGGAATGCAGCTTTGGAGCCTGTTGAAGATATTTTCCTCACGGAACTGAATGCAACTCTTGAGGAGTTCATCCCCTCTGGAGGTCTGTACCTCATCTCAGGATGCCCCCCGAGCTGTTCGAGAGCTCCTGTTGGTTGGTGTTTTGTAAGGCTTGCATTCCCTTTGGTTGGCGTCACTGGTCCTGGCCAGGCTCCTTCATGCAGGTCAGGGTGCCAAGCCGCTTTCCCCCCTGGGGCTAATTCAGCTTCAGCTCTCTGGCCCACATTCTAGGAGTGGGTAGGATTGACGGGCAGAAATACCCAAAATGCTCCAAATATTTGGGTATTTCTAACCCGTCCAGTCACTGCACATCTCTGGATGCGCCAAATACTAGCCTATTGTCGCTTAAAGTTCTTATTGCTGTAAAGAAGCCTTGGGAAAAGCATTGCAGCCTTTCAGAATGGGGGAAAATTGCACAAAAGTTGGGAAACCAGCAATCAGTGGCTGAGGGGAAAGGGTGGGCCCAGGGGAAGGGGCCCTCTGGGAGCCCTAGAGGGCTGGGCCAGAGCCCCAGGCAGGCTGGACTTGGTCCATGGACCTTACATTTAATTTAAATTAGTTTATCCAAGTGTTTCTTGGCTACTGTTCAGGGGAGGAACTCTCCCAAGGCAGTATATAGCAAATAACATGTCTGCTGAAGGCTATGGAATAGTACAGTAGTTTGTGCCGGTGTTATTCATTAAGGTTTGTGTTCTTCAGTGATGACATGAGTCACCACTGACTCTTTTTTTCCCCATCATACTTATGTGTATGTAAAATTTATGTATCATTTCCATTCTGACTGCAAAGAGCGCTCTAGGTTAGAAAGACCTGAAGGGAAATATTTATTTATTTGTTTGTTTGATTGATTATTTTTAAATGTATATGCCGTCCACTAATCCTAAAGGATTACGTCATATGTCCTTACATCCTTCCTTCCTGCCTTCTTCTTCAATTAACCTTGGGTTGGATCCAAGTTAGGGCATGGCTAACTGGGCTAGCGGATACAGATTTTCTTGTCTCGTCTCTTCATTGTGCATACCACAATGCCTCTCTCCACAACAGTCCCTCCACTCCTCAGAAAAGGCTTCGGCGAATGGGGCGGCATAAAAATGTTTAAATAAATAAATAAATAAATAAAATGCTGATCAGAGGATCAGGAGACCCTGCTGAATCGGGGTGGGGGGAGGAATCCCTGAGAAACAGGTGAAGGCATCTTCCATGGGTGGAAGCCTGATCATGGATCCAACCCCTCAAGTGGCAAATACCAGTGTTGCTGTTGCTACACATTCAATTGCTCTTTTCCAGAATGTCTACCAGCAAAAAAGAAGCCAGCAGTAGAAGCTCTCGGTGCAGAACTTTCACTCATATACAAAAAGGTGAGAAGAACCTTCTTGGTATGCACAGGAACCGAGTTCTAGGAATCCTAATGCAGCTCCTGCAAAAGATGCCATCCACATTTAAAAACTGAGTTCAGAATGCTGGCAGAACTTTTAATTTGTTTTGATCAACAGTCCAGGGACTAAAGATGCCATGCTTCATATTTTTGTGGTGTCAGTGTTCCAAAAGATGAGGCTTCTAGATAGACTGGTCTTTTATTCCCATATAATTTTGTGGTGAATTTGCAAGGCACCCTGAGGGTAAAGTTCCTTGTATCTACTTCGGCCCTGGCACTATAATTCACACATGTTGAGAGGAAGAATCCAGATCATTGTTGTGCCTGGTTATATGAAATCAGTTTTAGTCTGAGTCCTTGGAGCCTGAGGTCTTGGAGAAGGTACTTAGGGAGGTTCATCTGGCCACTTGCATATTTGTCCCATGTCCATCTTGGCTTATCACATCTGGTGGAAGATTGTGGGGTTCAGGAGATGAGTGTAGGAATGGAAGTGGTCCTACATTCACCATCACAGAACCACTCCTTAAGAAACCTTCAGTAGGCCTGGAAGACTGCAATTACTATCACTCAGTCATGAATGCCCTGTTTGGGGCAGGAGTAATGCTGATCCATCTCCAGGTGCTATTGGATGAAACAGATTATCTGGGTCCATGTCATTCTGGGTTTAGGCTGGGGTTTGGCACTGAAATAGCCTTGGCACCTGATGGATGACAGAATGGAGTACAACCTTGTTTATTCTCCTTAATCTCTCAGTGCCTTATGATACCATCAACTATGCTATCTTGTTAGACCAGCTCTGTGGGCTGGGTCTGGGAAACACAGTAATACAGTGGTTCTGTTGTGTGCTGAACAATTGCAGCGTCAGTTTCAGAAAGTAGCATTAGGGGATTTCTGTTTAACCCCATGGCATTTGAATTATGCAAAGTACCATCTTACCCTCCCCCCACTTGACATTTAGAGTAAGTAAAGACAGAGAGCAACTTGCTGGTTCCTCCCTTGAGGAGAAAACAAAAGAATCTGTTTTTGCCAGAACCCTTATAGGCTGTTTTTCCAAAATCCTTTTCTGTAATCCAGATGCCTTCAGAAGGCTTCCATCATGACTCCCATTTGGGAAACAGGATGTGAGAATTTGATGCAGAAAGTTAGGCTGGAACTCATGCTCTGCTTCATCCATACTCCTTTAAACTCTGGCCTCCAATTCTCCTTTGCAAAGCACTGTCAGAGGGACATGATTTCCAGCAGAGAATTGGCAGGTGGGACAAGAGCACTTAATGCTTCCTCAGATGCTGCTTTTCCTTACCAACTTCACCTTCCCCTAAAACTGCTCTTTTACCAGCCCAGATCCTAGGCTTGGTAATGGAATAATACTACATGATCCTTGCTGGAGAGAAAGATGTGGTGGTAGAGGGAAGCAGCAGCAACAGGCATTCCTGCACTGGTAATCTTGCTCTCCTAACTCCACTTTTCAAAGAAGCAATGGTAACTGTGCTTTGAGGACTTGCAGGGGAAACAGAGCACACTGCCTTACCTTACCCACTGGTTCATAATGCAGTTTTATTTTATTTCTGTAAAAATCAATATTCCTGTTTTGCTGCCTTTTATATGATGAGATTTTCCTTACTGGTTATTTGTGATCTTCTAGGATTGGGCAGCTGGTAGCCCACCTGATGCTTTGGCCTAAAGCTCCCATCAGTCCTAGCCAGAGCAGCAAATGGTGAGGCATGATGGCATTGCAGGCTAAATTTCAGAAAGGCCACAAGCTGCCCACTCTTTGCTGTAGGCTGCTAGGTGGATGCTTCGAATTTATGCTGTTACAGAAACAACCACCTTGACTGGGTTTCACATGACATGATACCCTACATGTAAGGCTTGAACATGGATTGTCACTACTATGGGTTAGCATGTTTCCTGAACCCAGCTGCACTAACGAAACCATGGTTCACAAGCCTACAACGAATTATAATTTCTCTTCATGGGTTGTTCATGGTTAACAATCCATGGGTTGTTAGCTTGCCGGGTTCAGACAACATGATAACCCATGCTTCAGTGACATCCCATGGTTCAACAACAACACATGTTTGACCCTTATGTCTGGGTGTGTTGTCTCAATCCAGTCATTGTCTAAAATTCACATGTGCCCCAGAGCAGAAGCTGGTTGAATTTAGAAGTCACTTTGTTTTCTTTAAAGAATGTACAAATACTATAGAAATCAAATGGCTTGGGATCTGTTGGCTTGAGGCTGGGATATTATGGAAAACTGAAAGGGAAATAGTTTACATATATGAATGGTGTGTACTGAATGACTGAACCACTGCTTATGTTAAGGATTAACGTATCTATGGCTGTGAAATGTAATAGTGATTTGTGAGAGTTTTTCTTTCTAGGTTTTGCTGAGTAACCGAGAGAAAGATGAGGCAGTTTCTTTGAGATCCACAGGCCTGGTTATGAAAGCGATTCCCTCAAATGAAACTGAAGGTAATGGCCATGGTCATTGTGAGGGGTGGCACAAACGTCTTTGTGTAGCTTCTAGGTTCCTACTATTTATTAGTTGTGGATTCCTAGCTGGGAGCTGGCGAATTGCAAATGACCCCACCCTTCCACTCAAAATGTTGAGTCCACAAAACTAACTTTTTTGTCTGTGCATGCATGCTTGCATCTTTTCGTTCACAGCTACTTATGTCATATCAACGTATTTTCATGATTACCATTTTCATGCATTTTATGTTTTGCATACCACTCTGGGGGAAGACAGAGGGTGTGATTTTAAAAAGATTACTTTACTCCCATTATGCACTTGCACCCTAGTTGGGATAGCTGCAGCTGCATGCTCCCCTTGCTGCAAGTAATGGAGCAGGATGGAATAATTCTGAGTGCATGGGCATCTGTTTGCTTTGAGCTACACAGGCATTCCTTTTGCCAATGTGCTGCTGCAACAAGAAAAAAGTAGTTATTGAGACTTCATCCATTCTATTTGGAAAAGGGAGAGATCAGAGCTAATAATCAAGGCAGAGAAACAAACTAGGGCCACAAAATGCCAGTGAATCACTCTGGGAGAGGGAGGGTTCTTGCTCATGTTCACCCTCTACTTTGCTGTGCTCCTGAGTGTACAGGTACATGCGGACATACATAAAAGCAGGAACAAGCCTTTCATGCTTTCACTCTCCAAATAACACATCTGCTTGCTTCTTCAAGTGCATCAGTTTTGTCTTACCTTCCAGCTTCTGTTGGACAGTCTGCTTCTGCTTGGTTTCTGTCAAGTTCCGCTTGTGTATATATTTAAACAATCATGTGATGCCTTTAGAGAAAAAATGAACCAAATTGTTGGTTTTAAGGTGATGAGCTCCTCTGCACATTTGGTTCCTCATTACCTCATACCTGCCCATTGTATCAGTGTTCCTTATAGCGTTTTCTACTTGAACTGCCATGGTGTTCCAAGCCCATTTCTCCAAAGAAAATGTCATGTGTAAAGAAAGTGCAACGAGTTGAGCATTAAAAGAGGAAATTAACACTGGAACCATTATTTTTAGAAAGATAAGATGCCCTTGAGGAAGGGAATGTGTTTTGCATTGGACAAAATAAACATTTTTTGTACAGACACCTGAGATTTCTTTTCATCTTTCATTTAGCAGGTGCCTTTCCCTCGTTTTTTTCTGATTTGTAGCAAATTTGTGAATCAGTGTAATGTGGTGTGTTAGGGTGTTGGACTGGAGACCTGGGAGATCCAGTTGACCATGAAGCTCACAGGGTGACTTTGGGCCAGTCACAGACTCTTAGCCTAACCTACCCCACAGGGCTGTTGTTGTGAGGATGAAATGAAGGGAAGGAAAAATGTAGGTGCCTTGGGTGCTTTGCAAGAGGAAGAATGTGGAATATAAATGTGATATGATTATGATGATGACAATAATGATGTTTTCGGAATGGAGCAGCTCCTATTTTGCTGCATGTCTGCTTTCTAAGCACACTATTACATTGAGAGTATGACAAGCCACAAAACCAAGTTTTGGGAGAAAAGGAACAAACACACACACACACGGGAAGAGACAACTGTATTGGTTACCACCTTTGATTTTACATCCACGATCTAATAGCTGCTGATGAAACAATTGCAACTATGGGGGATACATACCACAGCACCAAGGAAGACCAGGCAACCATGGGTTTCATGGAGGACACATACATATGTTTTCTCCAGTAATTTTGAGCCATGGGAATATGTTGGTGGGCCTCAAGTTGAGGAGTTTCTTTAAGAAGAGAACTGCATGTGCATGCAGTGGATAACATTCACTGCCGCCACCATAGCAGTTCCATGCATCATCATAAAATGTCCTTGGAAGGAAAGGAGAGAGCAAACTTTTAAGTGAACTTTTCCTAATTGCTAAATAAAATAAATAATTGTATAGGTTAGAGAAAGAATACTACTGTACCATATTCAGTTCCAGAGCTCCCTCTTGCTGCCACTGAGAGTTATGTACACCATCTTTCTTCATGAAGAGCACGGGCCGATGCTGCCATTGAACATTCTAAGGGAGCATAAATGCTTCCGTCGAGACAAAGGCTGAGGAATGCCCCTAGTTGTTCACTGTCCATTCATTGTTCCATTGCAGATCTGGTGCGGTTGAGTGTGAACATCGCTGAAGTCGTAAAAACCTCCAACCTCTCAGGACGATCATATTCTGTAAGTGGCACCCTGATCTTTCAGAAAAAGGCATTTAGTCGTGCTGACCTGCAGCTGAAGGGAAAGATGGTGCATGTGCTGGTTGGGTGGATGATGCCCTTCCTAACAGAGTCCCTACAAAATATGGGTGACTCTCCCTGGCACGTGCAAGTCCACCAGGTGTGCAAGTTCTGTTTTAGTGCAGCTTCAAAAAATTTCCAAAGCAAAAATCAAGCAACCCTTTGGCCCATTAATGAATTATCTTTGGATTGCCACATAAAACTGTAACTTTTCAAATCTTTCTGCTGAGCAAATCTGAAGAATCTTTGAGGGATGTTCATTAGAATAGTAGATACAGCTTGATCAGATTGAATATTCTAATTATGCCATCACTCTAAAAAAACAAGCAAACAAACTTAGGGTATGTGCTTCTGTGTGAAGGGAGCTTTTGGAAATATTGCCAAATTGCAACGAGACAATGCCTACCATTATCACAACTGCAACAACATCGTTTTATACAACCATCAGTTTTCTGTTTGATTCCCTTCACTCCAATACCACAGTGTGTTTAAATGGGATTTTAAAGACAGTAATTTCATTCAGTACAGATGCAAGTCTTTTGAACAGTCTGTAAAGAACTGTGGGTGTTGAACCTATTCTGATATTTGATATTTGAATTGTGGTCCCTTCAAATTGTCTGTGCTTCTTATTGAGTCTCTGCCTTCCTGAACTGGGCTTCAGACCTCCCTTTCCCACAACTGAATGGTGCACAAGCCTTTTCAGTAAAAAAGCTGTTCATCTGGAAATGAGTGATTTTGCAGGAAAATGGATACATGGGGAAGGCAAGCTGCTCAGGCTTCTTGAGTATTGCCTGGTTTGTCTCTGGACTACTATTGGATGTATCTCCTGATGCTAATTTTCAACTGGGCAAAGTGACCAACAGCTCCACAGCTTCCTTTCCACAGGACATCCTGCTTGGCAACTGTTCTGAAATTTCATGTGGTTTATCAGCCTGTGTTGCTGTTCCATGTAGATATTTTCTTCCTTGTTTCATCATTGCTAAATAAACCAGTATTTTTCTGGAGCAGTTGCTACTTTTCCAATGGGTTGGATCCAGACTGGATCACTGAGTATGACTTAAGTCTAAATCCAACCCAGTAAGTACCTGTTTAAAATTTCATAGGAATATAACTGCAAAGGCAAAGCAACATCTTCTGCTCCATTCCCACCAAGGCCTGTAGAATGTGTAGGTTAGTTTATTAGTTTCTAAATGAAATTTCTTCTAAAAAGCATTAAACATATAGTTGGATAAATATTTTTAACTCTTACGAAAGAAAAGAAGTTGCACATGTACACACACAAAAACATTTACTTTCCTCTTCAGATTTATCCCTCCTTTACCAACAAGAATCCCTACTGAACTGAAGAACTGGGAGTAAAACAAACGTATATTTGCAGCAGTAACAGTACTTCCGTTGCCAGTAGCATAATTACCCAAACTGAAAAGGAAATTGTCAAAGAGTTCTCTTTTTCATACATTATGAAATAGGCTGATGACTCCGATCAAGCAAACATTGAAATTTTCCCATTTCACAATGTCAGAATTATATCATGATCTTGTAACCATAATTACATCATTCTGCAGGTTTCTGAATTCTAGTAGACAATTTATATTTAATCGTTATAGATGAAACTGAACAACAGCCAATACTCCAATAGTTCTGATACAGACATTTTATTGAGAAGATCTATTACAGTTGGGAGACAGAAAAGTTAATTCTTGATGATCTCTCACTCACAGAAAGTTTAGGGTCCTTTTCACAATGTTGTTGCACTCCAGAGCCTTTCCTGAGTTTCCCAGTCTTTTTTTTTCTTTTGAACATTTTTTTCAACATTTGAGGAAAGTCTGGCATTACATTTTAAATTATGACAAATGGAAATAAAAGCCTTGTGTACTGCCACAAATCTGCTATACTGCAGTTAAACCACAGTGTCACTTTGTAGTTGGATAATAGAATATATTGAAAAACAGAGAATATGAACTGGTGGTGGAGGAGGAAGTAAAGGATGCATTTCTCCTCCCATAATGAAAACAAAAGACGCTTCAGTGAAGCAGTGGGTTGAACTCCTCAATGTAGAGAAGCCTAGAGCTTTCTTTTGCAGCTACCACCATGACTACAACACTGTAGCAAGTTTGTGTTTTCTTTGGCTAAAGTGGAGACTTGAGGTTTATGCCTCAGTACATACAAAATCAGTAAGAACTGTCAGTCCATGTTGCATCAGTGCTTTTGGTCATGAAAAGTTCAGTTTTTGTAAGCCGAGCTTTTTGTTTCATATTTGTTTCAGTTAGTGACAAACACTATTAGAACACGCAACATCAAAATTAAAAGTACAGAACAAAGGTCCTTTACAGTGTGTGTGGACAAGGATTCCAGACGAGTCTACAAGAATGTGATCAGGTAGGGTTCTTCAGTGACCTGTCTGTTACTAACCTTTCTGCTGTTTAATTTCAGTTCTCTCTCATTCCTCAGAGTCAGTTCCTGAGCATGGTGAGAGCACTCTTGATAAACTGATCAGCTTAACAGACCCACCACTAGTGCAAAGGAAAGCTAACAGATCCTGAATCAGAGAAATGAGTGACAACACCTTGCAGAAGGGAGCTCAGCTATCACCTCCCAGCAACAGGCATTTCTGCAGTTGCTTTTAGGAGGCACTAGCAGCCTGAGATGTCAGTCCTGGATCTTGTTATAGTGGGTATCGCCCATTGTCCACTGAGCTGTGTTCTTCCTATATCAGATTCAAGATAATGTATGATTTCATTAAAGAAACATGCCACTCACTGTTCATGTTAAAATGATCCCAAAGAATACAAAACCAATAAAACAATCGTACAGCATGGACTGCTTAAGAGTAAAATGGGACGAAAAGTGTACCAAATGGTCTTCATTTGTCACCGAGAGCTTGTAAGAATGGGCAACAACCATATATGAGTGGGAGAATGTTGAGCAGTTGAGAATTGATTGAGGCTGCTTTATTCTTTCTAGCTCTTATACTAGCCTAAATCACTGCCAACTGATGTTTGTCTCAAGGTAAATCATTGGCATGTGTTCAGGATATATGAGAAAGTTTTGCTAACTATCTGAACACTGGACTATTGTGTTTGGATTTCAAATAGCCACAAATGTAGGAGTTTTATATAAAACCAACTTTATATCCGAAATGGGTAAACACCATTCTAACCTACAAGGTATGTATTTGGTTAATGGAAAATGTCTTTTCTTCTCTTGTAGTATTGAAGTTTTTCCATGTCTAGAACCTAGCTACTGCTTGCAAAAGATGAGAGCCAGTAAGGACTGCCTGCAGGAAGAGAAGGAGGAAGACATAGGACTGGCCAAGTACTTACCCAAGTCTTTATTGCTACCCATCAACACCTTTGCAGGCATTATCCAGTGAAAAGGAAAGGACTTACATGTATTACATGTTTTTCTGGATTTCATTAGGGGACATTCCAGTGATGGGGGCCCAATATGAAGGGCTCCAAGCAAAAGGGAAAAGCAAAAGAATACTGCCAGAAAATCACTCAACACGCAAGAAGTAAAGTTCTCCTCAGTACAGAAGCATAGTGTGGTTCTGTAATAGCAGCAGGTGACCCAGGAAGCCAATGCAAGAGGAAACAGTAAAAACGACATTTTAGGCTTCTCTGTTATGCTTTTGTAAGTGGAGTGTTTTCTGTTTTTATCCAGCAAAGAGAGAAGTGTTCGTTTTCACATTTGCACAGCACATGAAATGATAATGAATGCTAAATAATTTCTCATTAAAATTATTTAATGTCCTCAGGAATTCTAGTCAAGATCACAGTTGTGATGACTCAGGTGCTGGCCAAATGTATTAATCTTTAAACATATTAAAGGTGCAGTTATGCTGTATAGCTCTCACAGGCAGGTAAGCAGCTGTCCAGAAATTAAGGAGTTAAGAGTTAATGATGCAGCATCCAGTAGTTCTTTTGTTAGAAAATTATTGGGTGCGTGCCATACAAATAGGTGCACAAATTCCTATCATGTGACAAAGTTAAGGAAATGGAAAACTATTTGTAGCTTTAGAACACTGCTTGAACAGGAACAGGCATGGTGATAACAGGCTGTGTGAAATAGCACCAAATGACAAATATCATACATAGAACAAACTATTCCATGGACACAGGTCAGGCATGTTTCCATGAAATCTCAGCACTGATGAAGTTCCAGGGTGCTTTGTCCATGAAGTCAACCATGCAGTGCAGACAGCATGGAGGAAAGAACTAGTGGCACTCCTGCACAGGAGCAGAAAGGCCTGTGGGGTCTGCCTGTGATGCACTCAGGACTAAAGACATGCCTGCCACTCCTGTGTCTTTTATTTATTGACGTAATGTATTTCGTCTTTGGCTTATAATCAAATTAAAGCAACAAACAGCATAAACAATAAAATGAAGACAGGGAGCTAGAACTGGAGCCAGATGTTAAAACTTGTAATAGGAGGAGGAAATTAAAAAACTAATTGCTTTCCAAAGGTATCATGGAACATTTTGCTGCTAGTCTGCTCTTCTTCTGCACCCTGCTCTTCTAATGTTTCACACAACCAGCTCCCTAATTGGACCTGAGGATTTAGCCAATGCTGCACCGGGAAAAAAAAATACATTCCTCACCTTTCATGGATAGTGCACACAATCAGCACACAGTGGGAAATTTTGTGCAGCACTGTATTCAGATATTTGTACAGAAAAGCTTTGCCTTTCTGCCTCTATTGTTAGAACATAAGGTAACTGATGCACAGGACTATAATGCTCAGTTCAAGGGCAGAAAGTATGAAGACTAGAGATAAGCTGAAATATGGAAAGAAGGAAAAATGTTACAGGATTTGGGGGGTGGGAAACATTAAAATGTAGGTCAAGCAATACCTGATGAGCCACAGATAGAATGACACTGATCCTCCCATGGGGTATAGTGGAAAACAGTGCCTTAAAAAGAGAGAGATAACAGCTGGTCTGAAGTCCTACGTAAGCTTTTAATTAATTCTCTAAGCACAATGGTGCAGCAATATGTTTACAAGGAGTTTATGACTGATTTCTTCGAATTGTATTGGTTATATCCGTATTAAATATATATGTACATTATGTAAATGAATCATAAATTATTTGTATAGATCTAATACATGCTATATATTGGAAAGTAGAATTCTTTAATTTCATTAAATAACTTTAAAAGAAGTTTGATGTCATGTGTGCTTGTGTGTATTGACTAAGGAAGGAGGATGGCTTGGAGAGGTCACATTGAAGATCGTCTGGTGCGATGGGCCTGGACTTAGGGAACTCATATAGATGCCACTGGAAAAGTTTAGGAGAAGCCTACAATATTTCTTTAGCAGATTTCTTACATTCTTGTTGTATTATGCAATGTAATGAATATTATTTTGTAGCATTTATAGGCTCCCCCTCCCCCAGATGGCATTCAGGTACTAAAAACAAAAGCCACTTGTATTGCTTGGTGAATATGCTCCAAACAAATTATTTGTGCCCAAGGAATTTTGACCCTGGAAAGTTTACAAGGACCTTCCACTGAAACAGAAAGTACTGTACTGTACCTTACTACCTGATCCTAAACCTTGCTTTTACAAGATTAAACATTTTTAATAAACATAATAAACATAAAGCAGCAACAGTTACTGCAGAATTCTCTAAATGAATCAAAGGTATGATGACATAAAGTTTCATGTTTTCAAAGCCTGCTGTAATTATGCTTAGCTGAAGGAAAAAACAGAATTAGTGTAGCTCCTTATTCCAGCTAAACCATCTGAAATTCAGGTGTCCCAGTTTCCTACCTCGCTGTGGCACCTTGACTTTGAAATCTTCTCTACAGGGCCCTGTATTGCCATTCTGATGCCTGGCAAAGACCTGTTAATTTTCTCAGTCTTTCAAAATGCTTTAAACCACTGTGGAAACTTTCTATTTGCTCTTTGTTGTCTTTTATTTGGTCTTCATTGTATTGTTTTAATGATGACTAGCATGATTCACTTTATTCATACCCTTTTTTTTTGCAAGGAACTCAAGGCAGCTTACATAATCCTTCTTCTCATCATTTTATCCTCACAAGAACACTGTGAGGCACATTAGACTGAGAGTCAGTGACTAGCCAAATTCTTCAGTGTTCTTCACAGTGTTAAGGACTAGCACCTGATTCTCCCAAGTCCCAGTATGCTAACCACTAAACCACACTGGCCCTTGCTAGGTGCAAGGGTGTAATGAAGTGCCTCCACTTATTTTGGAGGGAGCCCTCAGGAATGCTGCTGGATCTCTGAAGCCAGGGTCACTGTCTTTCCCCCACTGCCTCTCAAGAGACTTAATTTTGTTGATTTGTGGCTGACAGCTGCCACTGTGTCAGTGTCCTGAATTTAATAGGTTAAGAACAGGGCGTTCTTTCAGCACTTCCTAACAGTTCCTGGGAACTACCTGTCTGGAGAGGCCTGCCAGGTGTGCACATGTATTTTATGTGAGACTTTCCCTCATGGTCAGCTTGCCTTTACTGCTCCAAAAATGACCTCCCATCACCACTACATTCACACCACACATTTGGAAATGCTTTTACTCCACTTTAAACAGGATTTATTTCCCTAAAGACTCTTGGGGACCAGAGTTTGTCAAGGGTACTGAGTGTCATTAGTGGACACCTATTCCTCACACGGAGAGGTACTTTCCAGAATTCCTGGGGAGGAGGCATGGACTGATAAACCATTCTGGAAACTGTAGCTCTGTGAGGTGAATAGGTGTTTTCTAGAAGTTCTTAGCACCACAATTATTTGGAAGGAATAACAGCTAAAGTGGAAAAAAAGTATTGTAACTGGAGTATATTCACTAGAATCAATGGGCAAGATTAGCTATAGCTATACATTCCTCTTACTTCAGTTTGGATATTTTATGCATGATTCTGCATGGATCCAATGGGAGTACAATAGAAGATCATTATTTTGAGAAACTGGAACCCTTAAACTATGGATTCTGACTCATATTCTGACTCTTCCACACATTTGCACACACAAATTAAAAGTAACCAAATAGAGAACTGTCAATCCAGACTGCTGCTCTTGAGAGAAATAAATACATGTTTCTATAAATGGGGTAATTATTGCCTGAGTTTCCTTTTTTCCTCTTCCTTCCCAGTACCTTTTCCCTTGTATGTCATGTTTTTAGATAGTAAGTCTGTGGGCAGGAACTGCCTTATTAATTCCACATAAGTCACTCTGGGAGCTTTTTGGCTGGAGAGCAGAGTATGGATGTTTAAAAATAACTAAGAAATAACTTCTAGAAGCTGTTATTGTTTCACCTCAAAAAGAAGATACTCTCATCTCGCACTCATTTGTTCTTGTTTAGTCACAAAGACATGTCCAGCCCTCCACAATCCCATGGACCACAGCACACCAGGCTCTCCTGTCCTCCACCATCCCCAGGAGCCCAGCAACCCCACATCCACCACACCAGTGACTCCATCCAGCCACCTCACCCTCTGCCATCCCTTTCTCCTTTTGCCTTCAATCATTACCAGCATCAGGGTCGTATCCAATGAGCCCTTCCTTCTCATTAGATGGCCAAAATATTTGAGCTTCAGCTTCAGCATCTGTCCTTCTAGAGAACAGTCAGGGCTGATTTCCTTTGAGATTGACTGATCTGATCAGATTTTCATTCATTATTCAAGAGAAATTCAAACAAAGTGACAAAGTTCATTTTTATTGTATAATCATAGTTTGGATAGGCTTCGGGTGTGGCTTTGGAGTGCGGCTCTATCATGAAGGGATCCCCCCACTTCTCAATTTGCCACTACACCACTGCTTAGGTGTCCTGGTATACCTAAGATTGTGCAGTAAATATCCAATGAAATGAAAACCTGTTTTAAAGGAAAAGGCTAAACATATTTTGTCAAGTGTGCCTAGAACATGCACAGAATGGTTCCTTTTTCCGGGAAAGCACACCAGGCACATTCCTAAAGCCGCTCTCCCTGCAGGCTTGAGGTTGCAATGCTATATCCATTGTTCTGGAGGGCCCGCTGTACCCAGTGGGCTTTCTGAGTAGACACATAGAGGTTTTCTCTGTAATTCCGACTGCCCTAGAACAACTTGGACAGGGACGCCGGTCTCTGCCAAGTACGGAAAAAGAGGCAATCAGCGGGATGGAGAAGGTGGAACGGAGGCAAGGTCTTCTCAGACGACCAGAGATGGTGGGCAGCGGCTCGTCCGGGAAGCCTTCTGGAAGATCTTGAAGGCCACCCGCCGTGTCCTAGCAACAGCTTGCCTCCCCCTTAGGAGCCCGGGCCGAGCCCCTGGCCGCCTTCGAAGAGGAGGAGGGCATCCGAGAAGAGAGCCGGCGGACGGTCCCTCGGGGGTAGCCCGAAGCGCAAGCCTTACAGGTGCAGAGGGCGGGGCCTCCCTCGGCACGGGCAGGTGCTCCTTGGCGCATGCGCGATGCACATCTTCAGTTACCAGTAGGCTGCGGCTGTGGTTCGCGTGGGACGGCGGAAGGAGAAGTTTGCCCCTTCCCCTCAGGTACGGGAGACCCCGTGCGCGTGGCGAGAGGGGCGGTCGCGGTTGCCATGGCAGCCGTCCTGCGGTGCGGGGAGAGGATGGGCGGCTCACGGTGCCCAGGCCCCGCTTGCTGCGGCATGAACGGGAGGGGGCCGCCCGTCGTGCTGCGCTGCTGACGCCGGACCGCGGAGCGCGAGCGGCTCGTGATGGCTGGCCGGCGGGAGCGCCACCCTAACGGCCTGCCCTGGTACTTCTGAACGCATCGCCCGTGTGAATAGCGCATGTCCGTGCCCCCACCCCCGCAACGGCTTCCGCCTCTTAGCCAGGCCGAATAGCAGCGGCTCAGCCGCTCGCAGCAACTTGGTTATGTCTAGCGGAGAGCTGAGAAGTAGGGCACTGAAGCCTGGTGGCCATTAGAGCCAGTTGGTTATCACTACTACTACTGTCGTTATTGTGCACAACAATATTGTTGTTATGCACAACATTACAATTTTCAGAATGGTTAGTACGGACAAGAGTTACACTGTTCAGTACGTTTCTAGAAAACACCTTCCCCTTTTCCTAGTCTTAGAAACTCTTTACTTTTAAAGAACCCTTTCTTCTGAAACTTAAATGTCTGAAACTGAAAGAGGGACGGAGTGAAAGGTTTACAGATACCTGTATGCCTTAACACGAAAATGGAGAAACTGCCTGTACATTTTCCATTTCTGAAGTGCACAACTCCTGACGTTTGAATTATTTTTAATAATTATGAACAGGTAACACGTTTAAGGGAGATTATGCCTAATAGTTTTGCAGTGTCCCACGACTTCTCCCTGGAGTAGAAAATCTGCTATAGGTGTGGGTTGCACTTGCTTTCAATTCTTCTATGCCTTGTAAAAGATAGTGCTCTGCCTGCAGCCAAAACTTACAGAGTACAGGTGTAACTACTGCTGTTGAGGGTTTCTTGGCACCAATATTTTACACATTGCAGCTGCTATGCATGCTATCAAGGAAAATCTCAGCATCTTTCAGTTCTTTTAATTCTTCCTTTGCTGTTCCCTAAAACCCTAGTATAATTTAACCAAATTATAACTAGAAGGCTCTTCTAATTTTCACTTGCATCCATTCAAAATATTTGTTACTAAATATTATTTCTGTACTGCCCAATAGCTAGGACTTTCTGGGAGGTTTAGAACACACATAAAATACAATATAACATGCAGACAACAATAAAAACATAAAAAATACCATACAAGATTTAAAAGCCAAATATAAAGTAGATCTAAAATCTATAATAGCTTAAACAAATTAAATCATAAGACCTGTTCAAGCTGCTAACATAAGCCCCAGTATAATAGCAAACTAATTAAATGTCCTGTGGTAGAGGACACTCACAACCTGGTGCTAAAAAGATATTAAACCTGGAGCCAGGCAGGCTGTAGTGGGGAACTTGTTCTATAATTCAGCTTTCACTGAAAAGGCTACTTTCCTTGTTACCACCAGCCAAGCCTCGTTTGCAGGGGGCAATCAGAGGCAGGTCCCAGATCCTGATCACAGTATTCGGGTAGATTGTGGTAGAGAGAGGTGTTCGATCAAGTATTGCAGTCCCAAGCCATATAAAGTTTTATAGGTTAAATCCAGCTCTTTGAATATAGGCAGCCAATGCAAGTAGGCCAGAATTGGTGTTATATGCCTCTGTTATTTATCTGGCTGCTACATTTTGCATAAATTGCAGCTCCTAAACAGTTCTATGTAGAGCATATTGCACTAATCTAGTTTAGAGACTACCAGAGTATAGATTACTGAAACCAGGTTATCCCTGTCCTGATAGGTGCATAGATGAGTCACCAGCTGAAGCTTGTAGAAGGCATTCTGTGCCACTAAAGCCACCTGGGCCTCAGGTGATAATGGTGTCTTAAAGAGCACTTGTTGTTAGTCGAGAAGTCATGTCCGACCCATCGCGACCCCATGGACAAAATTCCTCCAGGCCTTCCTGTACTCCACCACCCTCCGGAGTCCACTTAAGCTCATGCCAACTGCTTCAGTGACTCCATCCAGCCACCTCATCCTCTGCCGTCCCCTTCTTCTTTTGCCATCTATTGTTCCCAGGATCAGGGTCTTCTCCAGTGAGTCTTTCTGAGGTGGCCAAAGGATTTGAGTTTCATATTCAGTATCTGGCCTTCTTAAGAGCAGTCAGGGTTGATCTCCTCTAGGACTGACCGGTTTGATCGCCTTGCGGTCCAAGGGACTCGCAGGAATCTCCTCCAGTACCACAATTCAAAGGTTTCAATTCTTCGGCGCTCAGCCTTCCTTATGGTCCAGCTTTCACAGCCATACATTGCAACTGGGAAAACCATAGCCTTGACTATACGCACTTTTGTTGGCAGGGTGATGTCTCTGCTTTTTAGTATGCTGTCTAGATTTGCCATAGCTTTCCTCCCCAGGAGCAAGCATCTTTTAATTTCTTGGCTGCAGTCCCCATCTGCGGTGATCTTGGAGCCCAGGAAAATAAAATCTGTCATACCTCCCTTTCTTCCCCATCTATTTGCCAGAAAGTGGGATGACCAGACGCTGTGATCTTAGTTTTCTTAATGTTGAGCACTAATGAGCTACAAACCTGCTCCTTCAGGAGGCATGTGATCCCATCTAGAATAGGTTGAACTCTCTACATTTTGTCAGAACTGCCAATAACAGCATCTTAGTCTTGTCTGCTTTGAGTTTCTAGTCGATTGTTGCAGCCAGGCACTGGTTTAGCACATCCACAACCTCACCTGCTGAAAATGAAAAGGGGAAATAAAGTGGCATGACATCAGCATACTGATAACTCTGGATGACCCCATGCAACAGTTTTATGTAGATGTTAAATAGCATGGGGGACAGACCAGACTCCTGCGAAACCCCATGCTGGAGAATCCAAGGCGCAGAGCAACATCCCCGTCACCATCTCTTGAATCTGGTTGTCCAAGTAGGAATGAAACCTACACTTATAACACTTGTAAACCTACATGGCAACACTTCCTACTCTCATTGCAGTCAGCCATCTCAGAAGTTATCATGGTCAATTGTATTAAAAACCACTGAGAGATCCAGGAGTACCAACAGGGTCACACATTCTCATTATCTCTTGGCATAGGTCATCATACAGGGCAACCAAAGCTCTTTCTGTGCCAAAACCTGGTTTCAATCCCAACTAAAATGGATCCAGATAATGTCTCAACCAAGAATGCCTGGAGCTGGTTGGCCATTGCCCATTCAGGAACCCTATTTGGGAAGGAGATATTTGCTAGTGGTCTTCTGGGTTTGGAGATGCACACACAAAACATAAAACTAAAATGATTCCCCTGAGAGAGAGAGGTGCAGGGGCGGGGGTGAAGATTGGAAAATACAGTAGTACTTTGGCTCACGAACTTAATCCGTTCCAGGACGCTGGTCATGATCCAAATTGATCATGAGCCGAGTTAAATTTCAATGTATAAATAAGGTTAATCTGTAACTATTTTTTTAACCAGAAAAATGTGAAGCAATGTGACAAAGAGCAACAAAGAGCACGGCCATCTCCTCGCCCCCCAGCATGACCGTGATCGTGTCCATCATCCTTGCATGCCCAGTCATCCCAGTGCACTGTGGCGGGGGCAAGGGAGAGATGGGAGTGAACACGGGTGTGCTGGGGAGGGGAGATGGCCGAGATCGCGGTTGTGCTCATGCAGAAAAGATGGGCGCAATTATGGGCGCACTTGTGCAGGAAAGACGGGCACGATCTTGGCCATCTCTCCCCCGCCCCCAGCATGATCATGGCCATCTCCCCACTCGGGGGTGGGGTGGGGTGGGGAGATGGCCACGATTGTGGTTGCCACCCAATGCGGAGTTTGTCACCTGAGTCAAAATTTTTATGAAATTTTTGTTTGTGACCCGATTTGGTCGTGAACTGAGGAGTTCATGAGCCGAGGTACCAGTGTACTCTTTCCTTTAACACCTGATGTCCTCTCTTATATCATTGGCAATGTATAACTCAAGCTCCTTTTGCTGACTAATATGTGGACTTTGTGCTATTTCCCAATCTGACACAGGAATTCTTTAAAAAATGTGTACAATATCTCTGCCATAGACATCGAAACCTAAATTTAGCAGTTCTGTTATATTCCCAAGCCATTCCTTTCTTCCCCCTAACATGTATCATTTTATTTCTTGATAAGGATGCAGGTGGCGCAGTGGTTTAAACTGCTGTGCTGCTGAGCTGGTTGATCGAAAGGTCGCCGGTTCGAATCTGCACAACGGGGTGAATTCCCGTTGCTCCGTCCCAGCTCCTGCCAACCTTGCAGTTTGAAAGCATGCAAATGCAAGTAGATAAAAAGGTACCCCTTCAGTGGGAAGGTAACAGTGTTCTGTGCACCTCGGTGTTTAGTCATGCTGGCCACATGACCATGGAGACTGTCTGCGAACAAACGCTGGCTCCCTTGGCTAGGAAACAGAGAATGGAGATGAGCGCTGCCCCCACGAGTCAGACATGACTGGACTGTCATGGGGAAACCTTTACCTTTACTTTTTTAAGCATGCAAATTATCCAAAAGTATCATACTACCCAACACAATTTCTAAAATATGTCTGCTATAACCAGATTTTGTAAGGTGGGGGGACCAGAATGGTCCACTCCTCACCATTCTTTAAAATACAAGCACTATCAAAGCCTGGATGTGTACTTTAAGAAATCTTTGGGTCTTTCCAGGCATTTAGTTTAATCATATATGTTTCTCATACAATACATATTTTCTCATTTGTTGTATAGAATCCAGATAGTTTCATTAAGCCACTACTTCCGTTGCATGATCATTTTTTTTCAGTGCAGCAGTGAAAGTATGATTCTTTCCTCATTTGCATATCCATTGCTCTTGAATAGTATGGACATACTTCCTATGCCATCACTAAAGATGATTGGTATAATTTCTTTCCCAATTTTAACTGTAGAATGTGGGTTTTTATTTTGAAATTTGTATTTTGCTTTTGGACTCTTTAAGCCTTTTGTGACCTTAAAAGTTTTAGACTACAGTCCTGCACATAGGATGTTTAGATCTCATTTGATTTTTAAAAACTTGTGTAAAAGTGGTAAATGATTATTCCCTGACTCATTCTGTAAGAGAGGGATGCCACTCATCTGTCAATGGATATTGCTTAGCATGAATGTAATGCTAAAAGTAAATTGTTTTCTTAAGCTATCTGGAAAGGCTCTAACAGCACAGGCCTATGACTACTAGGAAGTCATCCCATTGAGTTAAATGGCTTTATGTTCAAATAAGTGTGTATGCATGGATTATGGGGACCAGCAGGTAAAGAAGGATTTGTTTGATTTAGATTTTTAACTTGTTTATAAACTCCTAAAACCTCGGAGTTTTCTATGAACAAAACCAGCTGTTGTTGTATTGTTATTAGTTGCTAAAACTGCACTTCTGGTTGGATTACTAATGCTACGTTTTGCAGCACTATCAAGAAAAAAATGTCTCTTTTAATGCTTCTAATCTGTTTTACACTATGCTGACAAGTTTTTCTTTTCTTTCTTTATTTTCAGTACAAAATTGGGATTCAAGGCTGCAGCTGAAGCCATGAGTATAAACAGCCAGTGGGATGTGAACAAAGCTGTAACGCTTGCTACCTTGTTCCATTTTCTTTACAGTGCAGGAAATGCCTGCACGCTTCCATTTTTAACTCTATACTTTCGTCAGCTTGGCCTGACTGCACCATTAGTAGGGATTATAATAGGACTTAAGCACTTAATAACTTCCCTTTGGGCTCCACTTTGTTCCTATCTAGCAAAAACACATAATAAAAGGAAACTCCTCATAAGTGGATCACTGCTGTGCTCAGTTGGAGCTAGTTTACTTCTTAGTCTTGTCCCACCACTGAGCAAGAACATTGTCCATAATTATTGTAACATGAGCCAACATCCAGGTAAACTACTGACTGCAACTCAGGTACCTGATAGAAGTATGATCAGTCTGAGTACATTGAATATCAGTCCTGCTCCAAATGACAAAATGACACCAACTGAATTGCTTGGAATGGTCTCAAAGGACCTGGTTAGTACTGGAAAACCAGCTGTAACAGTTACGCCATTGAATATGTATTCGTCTGTAAATATTCCTTCTGCGATAAACAGTGGACTCAATGATACTACTATAGGTGCACAGCAATTCACAGGCTTGACATCTGGTACTTCTTGGAAAGAAATTTCCCCAGGAGGACAAATGTTAGAGGCACCTGTGCCTGTGAAGGCAGCTAGAAGCTCAATTACAGACATCATGAATAGCAGAGAAAATGCTCAGAAAAATGGCTCATCAAGAAGAAATATTAGTTTCGTATCTCACACAGCCCCAGTACCCCCAATGGAGGCACCATATATATTAAAAAACCTTTCAGGACGCTGGGAAATAGAACAGGATGAAAGCTCTCAGTTACTGCAAGGTACTGACTTCTTGGACAGTGAGCATCAGGTCTTCCTTATGGTGCTAGGTGCTGTTGTGCTTTGGGAGCTTTTAGCTGCTCCTCTTGGCTGGATGGTTGATGACAGCCTCTATGAATACCTTGACTTTGTTGATGCTGCAGACAAATATGGAAACCTTTGGATCTGGAGTTATTTAGGTGCATCTGTGGGAGTCTGCAGCATAGCAGTGTTTGTGGATCAACTAGACTGTTTTTTGAGCACTAATATTCCACGTTTTTCAGTTCATTTTTATGGCTATGCCTTGTTGATAACTCTAACATTACTTGTTAGTGTTTTCTTTCCAGTCCATGTGTCCAAAAAAAATGAACATGTCAATAAAACAGGCAAAGCTTTGAACCTTATTGGGAGTGATGGCCGAACCATCCTGTCTGCTGTCACTGTCTTCCTCACAGGTGCCATTGGGTCAACTGTGCAGAATTTTCTTTTCTGGCAAATGCAAGACCAAGGCAGCAGTGAGTTATACATGGGCCTCTCAGTGGCCATTGGACTGATTGCTGAAATTCTGCTCTACTTCTTCAAAAGCAAACTACTAAGGGCTCTCTCAGGTGGTGGAACTGTTGCCATGAGCTTAAGCTGCCTAGCAGCACAGCTGCTCTATTATTCATTCCTATGGAACGCCTGGGCAGTGCTGCCAATCCAGATCTTCTGTGCCTTCAGCAATGGAGCCTTGTGGTGGGCTGTGAACATGCTGGCAGATGACATTGCCACTCCCGGCACAGAGCGATCACTGCATCTTGTCTTACAGGGCCTCTCTTGTGGATGTGGAGCCAGTCTGGGAAGTTTTGCAGGGGGGTTTGTTGTGAACAGTTTTGGCCTAGCAGTACTCTACAGGGCATGCTCCATTACTTTAATGCTCTGGTTAATCTTGTTCATGATTGTCCAATCTAAGTTGCCACGCCAGAAAAGAATTAATTACTCCCGTCTCTTAGCTGCGGATTCTAGTGATATGAGTGACTCTGATGATGATTATTATGATAAGGAAAGGGACTGGCTGGTAAAAGCTATGAAAGATGAGAACTTCAATAGGAATTGGTAAAAGTCTTGCATTTCATCAGTAACAGACCAAAGAACAGACTTCAAAGAAATAGGATGAAGTTATTATAAATGATGCACATTGAAATTATAAGGAGGTATTCTGCTAACTGTGGGATACTTTTGGTGTATATACTTGCTCAGGAAGCAATTATAAAGATTTTATAAATACTTTATTTTCTTAAGATTAATTTATTATTAAGTACTTGCAGCAATTTCGCTTTCTAAAATTTATGTTTTCAAGATTCAGGCAAAGGGGACTTCAAATTGTTTCTGCTGAATTTAATATCATTTTAGTCTTCCAGATGTTTTGTTAAGCTTTAAAATCATAGCTAGCCGTACTTCAGGGTGTAGGTTCATAGCAACTGAATAATGTTTTAACTCTTAAAATTTGGGCAGTGACTGCCAAGGAAGGAATATTCTGCTTGCCTTTTGCTGAGCCAAGTTCTTTGGGGATAACAAAGCACTTTTAAGAAAGTGGCTGGGATTTTACAGTGGAAGATGTTTGTTTTATTTTTGCCAAACCAGCCAGCTTTCTTTTGCTTAGTTTTTTAAAAACCCCATAAGATAAAATGCCAATCATCAGTCAGAAAACTTTTATTGGCTGAAAGCCATTTTAAAAATCATTTCACATATCTGCAACAAATATAAAATCTACGTAGCATGTGTGAAAATGCACAGGCACAGAAGGGAGATAGGGAGGCTTCTAGGATGTATGACTTAGTTTCACTTAGCTGATTCATATTAGGAATCACTTGTATAATGCATAGTGTAAGTACATAAAAGAGGCTCAGACACAGAGCACTTCCAAATGGAGGGCTCCCAGCACTAACAATCCAAAGGCATTGTACAGCTTTTCTTAATAGATTTTTTCCAATTTAAAATGGATGGAAGAAGCAGTGGGAAAACATGAGAGAGCTATAAATTGAAAACAGTGATTCTGAAACACCCACACCTTTGTAAAATTATGTGAATGAGACAATGAGATTGCAAACTTAAGAGGCTTGCCTGAAGCACTATTGTTTTTAAGGGAGGAAAATGTTACAAAGCCCACAATAAGGCATTTGACTCCCACTGTGATGTTCTAATTAGAGAATATACTCTTACTGATAGTAGGTATATGTGCATATGTGCTGGAGAAGGGTTCTATAGTCATTTCACAGGGGAATCAAAATTCAGAGGGCTATTATAGAAGGGAGGCTGTTCTTTCAAAACCCACACAACAGAAAGCATTCACCTTTTGCCCCCATCTTGCAGCTAGTAGCAAATAAGCACAGTCTGTTTGCCTAGTAAAAAGTACACCACTGCCAACAAACTGCCTTTTGATTGGAGGAAATTCGGATGGCATGTTTTCAATTAAAAGTTGCTACAGAGGATGGTATTTAGGGGAGATGGGAAGCAATCTTCTTTTTAATGCATTCATCAGTAAGAGAAACACATTTCAGATTGCCTATTTAAGAGTTCTCTCTGACACAAATTACTTTTGCCATCCACAAAAGTTTTCTTTTGAATAGATTTGTCCTAGGGTTGCGATAATGTAAAATCATTATCATACTGAGCTGGTTTACCCATAATGATAAGCCATGGTGAATATTAGCCACAGTGGGTTGGTTGTTCACTTCCTAACCCATGTTATTTCCCATAGACAATCAGATACTAGCTTGCTGTGACTTGTTTTCCCAAAGTACTGCTGCCCACTCCTGGCTTGTATCCCATGGATCTTTATGGTGAAACCTCAGCAGTATACTTCACAGATTGGACAGAAAACAGACTTTAGTCTCTTCAAAATTCCCATTGAATAGCACTCATTTACTTTGTCTTACTGTATAGTTCTTGATTAAATGGTTTCCTGCCTTAAGTATCTATGACCCCATGTTTGATTTTTCCCTATCAGCTGTGTTCCAGATTGTGGCAGATTTTCTTTGTCCATGGAATTCAGTGGGAGCTCTTGAAAACCAAAGCTTTCCCTGTATGACTAAACCTGGCCTTCACTGACATAACTTTACCCCAGGGTTCTGTCTTAGTTATAGTGGAATATGAGAAGTGTTAATTAGTTCTTACATTATGTCCATGGGATGCCTTTTGACATTAATTTGGGAAGTGAGTACATATATTTTGTTGAAATGTATCATCTACCCTGTATGTTCAGGAAAGATTGAATTGGATCTTTTGTATCAAGCTGTAGGAATGCATCCTCAAACAAATTGCAGGGTGACTCATTCTCATAAAATGTTTTCATGTTTATCCATCCATACAAATAATTTCAGAAGGCATTCTGAAGAAGATGACTATTGTGTTCGAACGTATGACTGGTATATTTAGTATGACTTACATTGGTTTAGGTTGCAATTGTATGGATGTTCAGACAGATAAAAAATTCTTACAGCTCCCAGCATTCTCCATCCAAAATGAATAGTTTAACTAACAAAAATATTTGGGAAAGATCCAGTAGAAATTTTTCAGATTTATTATTATTGTTATTATTTTGCAGTGGAGAACAGAGAATCCTATACATACCTTCCTGGGAGTAAATCTTAATGAGCACAGTGGAACTTTTTTCTGGGTATACATGCAGAAGATTGTGCAGTACTGCAGAGCACATGGTTAATTCTTTAGGAAGTCAGCGGAACTTAAAAATGCTTAAGTTCAGCTGAATTGTGTTGATAGTTCTGACCAAATTTATATATAGAAGGGAATATAATATGATATAAATGTGTTTTAAATAGTTACAAAACCACAGTAAGAACTGTAAGCTATTACTTTGCCGCTCTCACAGGTATTAGTCAGTGTCCATGGCTCATATGCTAAGAACTTTAAAGAAGTTTCTGACTTATTTCCAGCTTATTAGAAATATGCAGAATCATCTTTCTGTGTCTTGCTTCAGGCCATTAAAAATGTATGTGCTTCCAAAACAGTAAAGACACTTTCAAATCACCTTTTCCATACTTCCCTTCACTGTTAATTGACCCATTTTCCCCTATCACAAGGCCTTTCAGTACTTACTGACATAAATATTGTGCATCCTGATTCTGAATTTATTCTAGTCTTGTACCTTGATTATATGTGCTTAATTCAGTTGTGTTTTTATCGCCGAATTACTTCAGCTCCTTTTCAAGTAAATTGTCATCTATTCACACTGCTCTGTACAGTGGTACCTTGGCTCTCAGACACCTCAGTTCATGACCAAACCGGATTGTGAACAGAAATTTCAGAAAATTTTTGCCTCAGGTCGCAAACTCCGCATTGGGGAACGATCGTGCCCATCTTCCCTGCATGGGTGCAATCACAGTCGTGCTCAGGGGAGGGGGGAGATGACCATGATCATGCTGGGGTGGGGGGGGGGGGGATGGCCACAATCTTTGTTGTTCTTTGTGGTTATAGAATGGTTATAGAACGGATTAACCTTATTTACATTGAACCTTATGGGGAAATTTGACTTGGGTCACAACCAATTTGGGTCACAACCAGGGTCATGGAACGGATTAAGTTTGTGAGCCAAGGTACCACTGTATCTGAAAATTATGCTAAGTATACCTGGTTTTGATTCCAAATTGCAAAACATTCTTGAGTATGGTTAGAGTTCAGTTTAACCAAATTATAATGTGGTCGATATGTTGTATCATCTTCTACCAAGGCATATGCATGAATTTGTAACGATAGAAATCACCTTCTGCAGCACTTCCCAGGTATTTGCTTTCTCTCTGGCTTTTTACTGTAACTGTGCAAGGCTGAACGTATTGTTTCACTAAGTATTTCCACTGGATTTGCTTTATTGTGGGATTTAAATATTCTGTGACTTGTTTAGAGTTTCACAGATTGTCTTAATACCAAGTCAACAAATAGAAATGTGTTAACAAGTGTAGATGAGGAGAGATTTTTAGTTTCTCTGCATTTGTCCTAAAGGTGTATGAATCATTCCAGGTTCCTCAAAAGATCTGACATAATCAGAAAACATTTCCACAAAAGAGATTCAGTAGGAAATTAAAAAAAAAAAACCTGAAAATGAATACTGGATAAGTAGATTTTCCCCAGTTCTGCTTTTAGCAAATTGGTTTCATTCTTTGGAACACCTGAAAGCAGATGTGTAATTTCTCCATTTGGTTTATGTCAATACATTGTAATGAGGAATTTTTAAAATGTGAAAGAACATGCTTTTTATTTGCCACTTAAATCCTTGCATTCAGTGCTACTGAACTGTAGAGTCACACTCTATTTTAGCAGTATATGAAGCCCTTGTGATGAGGACCACTGGAACCTAAGTTTATATGGATTGTTCTTCATTATGTGAAATAATGAAGAATTTCTGTCTGGTATTCAAGTATTAGGATTTTGGCTATTTCTTTAGAGAATTTATGGCTGGATTCCTTACATTCTTCCTGATAAGCTGGATACGTTGAAATTCCTTTTGCTGATAATGTGAGAAATTGTAACTTTAAAAAGTAAATATTGATTCTTATAAAAGTCAAAAGACAGTATATGTTGAACCGAATCAAGAAGTGATAGCAGATGTACAAGAACTTCTGAATTCCAAATTCCTACTTTCTCCCCAAAATACTACATGCGCCCTTTCTTACTAATTATGAAGAGGTTATATATTGCTAGTGTGTATACATATTCGTAGAGTGTGCACGTGCATGCAGTTAGTACTTTGGATTTATATTGTCTACATTAGTTGTATTAAATTTAGTAACTATGCTAAGGATGGATTTATAGATCTCTCTCTTTTTTTAAGAATGCAAATGGATGATAAATACCACACTACTATTTCCAGGCTGACTCTTAACGGTGAGTGGAGAATCAACTTTTTTTCTGAACCTGAGCTGGAACCTGGGTTCCTCCCACATTGGACTTCGCATGATTGGCATGAAATACCTGTTTTAAAATGCTGCCATGCCTTGTATAACGTAATTCAGCTGTTCATGCTCCACTGCCTACAAACTCTTAGCAAACGGCAAGATTAAATAGTGGGTAATCATTCCCTCCCACAATGAAAATAGGTTTAGTGGTTCTCTGAAACAGAAAGGCAGAATAGTACATACAAAAGCAAATAGTCCACACTGTACACAATCATCCTGGGGAGGACATTGCCCCAAAGCATGCGATTGATGTTTAGCATATGTGATTACCCGCAGGTACTGGATATAAGGAAGTTGTCAGGCCTGAGCTGTTTTCCATGATAGTTGAACGTGCAACTTCCATTTTCAGAGACAGTATATCTTGTAATAGGAGTTGCTGGATCAACTAAAGAAATCCCCATTGAACCTGTTCAAGAACCTCACTAGGACACTGGTCTGTTTGTATGGCTTCTGGTGTGAGTTGCTAGCAATATTTCTGCTAAGGAGTCCTGTATCCTGATGCTAGCAGCATCAGAGCAGTATAGCATGTAGAACTTCGCCAGCTGCAGTTCTCCCCAGCATGGAAAGTGTGTGATAGGAATAGATGTTCTGGTTGAACTGCTGCTTCTCAAAGGCATCATTAGGGGTAAAAAAATAGCAAACAATATAAGAAAGGGCAGGAAGTGATAGAGACATCAAGGCATGGAGACAGACAGCTGTGTGCTCAATTAGTAGTAAGACATCATAGGATGTTCTGGGAAGATTTCAAGTTGCTGCTCAGGGCTGGAATTCTGCTGTTAGTGCTAAAGATCACCTGTGAGGAACTTATCGTCTATTGCTTTAAGCCTTCTTTTCCAGAAGACTCCATCCTAAAATTTTTCAAGGACAGCATATTGCAGCATGGTAAGTACTGAGCTCAGTTCTGGTCCCTTCTACGATGCCCTCTGATCTTTAACATAGAAAGATCCTATTGGATCAGACCAAAAATCACAATGGCCAACTAGAAAGATATTGGAATCTAATAGGCAATAGCCCACAACCACTGTGGTTTCTCAGCAACTGGTATTCAGAAGCTTGCTGCCTCTGAATCTAGAGGTGGCATATAGCCATCATGGCTAATGCCATCGAGAGCCTGATCCTCTGCCTAATTTCCTATCAAAGCCAACTTAACTATGTTTTCCACCAGTTTAGCTGGAACAGTTACCATATATGAGTCAGGCTGCATTGTAGGGGACTCTGAAAAATCACCCTTGGAAAAACCAAACTGATTATAATAGCAAGTTAGAAGAGAAGACACAAAGTAGTGTGGCATTTCCAGGGACTATTCCAGCTCATTATGAGATGCACCTTTAAAAATGTGCCTCTTGTAAATAAAACCAGAGAGTTGGTTTTAATTTCTAAAGTATTGGTTGTAACAAGAAGGAGCACACCATATGTGCTAATAATGTCTGCACTGCTGTATCTTTAATGAATTCAAATTACTCTAGTCAGACAACAGACATGGAAGTGTAGTCTAGGTAACATACCATCAACTAAAGGAAGCAATTGACTGAAACAATGGACATCCCTCTGCCATTCCAATCTGAATGGGAAGCATATTTAGAAAAACACACCTGAGTAAACAAAACATAGGGAGTAGGAAGCAGAAATGCTTGTGGGCTTTCCGCATCCATTGAATTGATCATTCTGGGAAACAGGATGCCAAGCTTATTCTGAAAGAACTGTGTAATATAGTTTCAGCTCATACCTAGCACAGTTGCACATAGAGAAAGGAAACATTCAGCATGAGTAGCTGAGTACCTTGTAAATGAAGCTTGTGAGGTGGTAATAAAATTTACTTTGGTGTTCATTTTCTAAAGGTCTGGAAAGGGTCAAACTGAGCTGTTTGCCCTTGCTTCCGCCAGAGGGCGCCCCTCTGTGTCACAAATGGACCTATATCTAGACTCCTGCAGCTTCTGATTCTATTTTATCTCCAGGCAGCTGTGCAAACGCATCTTGGTGTGGAACTGGCAGGCGGTGGCAGCTGCCAGGCAGGTACCAGGACTTAGCTGTGTTCTGTGCTGCTTTGATTTTTTTCTAAATGCTAATTTCTCATTCAAAGGATGTGCTCTAGCTTCCTGGCAAGTGGTTTTCCTTAGAAGTGCTCCGCAGAGACTTCTGACGATTAAAACAAAAAGAAAAAAGGGGGATTTTAAAAACCAAAGCAAGGGGTGAGGATGGAAAAGGAGAGCAAAGCATCCACCCAGTATGGATCCCTGGAGTCAACCAAGTGGACAGCAGTCAGTTCGGGCACAGGTGAGATTACTTTGCATGCCTGGGGAGTGGTGGTCAACTCCCAACTCCTTGTCACTTCTTACCCTCTTCAGTGGGGCTCAGATCTTGGCTGTTCTGCATGATGAGTGCATGTAAGTCTGTGTTGTATCCATGTGTAAAAGAGATGTATTATTTGCCAGCCCATGATCTGCTTATTTTGATCTTCCTTGAAAGTTGATCAGCAGTGGAGCGAAGACTGATTGCTCAGTCCTTCTCCCCCACCCTGTTCCTGGGGATGCCCACTGGGGTAAGGAGAGCCACCTGCCTAATTCACTGGCAGCAGAAATTGAGTGTGTTTCTGGTAGTGACATGCAGAGCAGAGTAATCTGGCTGGGGACCAAGAGCTTGAGTCTGTTCATTCACAAAAAACAAAAACAAAAAAAATCTGGCATGGATTCTTGCAGGATGGAGTATTGGGCATGCTGAGCTGGCAAAGCCCCAGCAGCTCACTGGGGTATGCCTTGAGGGGAAGGTATGTGGATGACACAGGGAGAGTGAGCAATGCCATGATTGCCTCCGGAGATAAAACGAATGAGTTTGTGTCTCCAGGAAAGGCAGAATCCTCATGGATGAAACTGTGCTACCCTGAGGTTAAACCTGTGTTTCTCTAAAAAGAATTCATTTACTTAACACGTAGCTTTTGAGCAGTATTCAGGGAAGACACTGGCAAGGATTTATTTCCTTGCAACGCAGCTTAGCACCTTCAGTGCCAGCTCCTTGTTTTTGTGAATGGACACAACCAGGCAAGCCACAAGGGAGCTCTGACAACAGGCAGCGTGGAGCCAATGCAAGACTTCCTATTCTTGAATGGCAGTGCAGAACTGATGGTTGCACCTCTGCTTTTATCTGTCTCTCCCTCTGTCACAGAGAAGTAACTGTGCCTTAAAAACACAAAGCAAACTCCTTCAGTGGACCCCTCAGGGGAGTGTGGGATAGTGGTTAAAGCTGTGGTGTAGTACTGCATGCTGGGTTTTCTCTCATTGCCCCCTCCCATGCATCCACTGTCTTGCTAATTAAATATGAAGAAGTGGAGTGAAAGTAAAATGGCACGTATAATTCTGGAATCTGTTTCCTAATGCACTTCCTTCACCTAGATGTGTGGCAAAGAAGACCCTGCATGCATTCCACACTGCCATTTTCAATGGGGTCTGGGCACCTTGCTGAGTGGCAGCAGTTCCACACAGGAGCCACTGAGTTCAGGGTGAACTCAACCTTACAGGTGGATAAGACAGTCATCCAGGAGGGCTCAGTTCATATTCTACCATCTCCTTCCCATTTTGGAAGCAGCACTGCTGTTCTGTCACACAAGTTGGGAATGCCCTGAGCCACCTCTGGGATGTCCAAGGGGATTCTTGCACACACTCTTAACTCACCTAGAGAATGCTCTTCCTCTGCCTCCACCCTATCCTGGGTAAGACAGCAAATAGCTTTGAGGCCTAGACTTTGGGGACAGCAACAGAAACATCTAATGGTTTAATAACTTTTCCCCCAGGTTAGCTAGTTGATACCTTCTTTATGGGGTTAGCATTTTGTTTGTGGGGTGGATCTTTTAAGGGTGTGTTCTTTTCAAGCATGCTTTGAGAGAGAATTCCAGTTGCATTTGTTAGCAGAGATGAGACATTTCTGCTAGTTTTATTTTGTGTATGCATGGGTCCTTTCTGATTTGGGATTGAGGGCTTTTCAGCTGCATATGTATCAGTAGGAGCTTTGCAACTCTTGGCATCTTAGAGGACTCACACTAAAATGTTTGGACTAGAAAGAGTCACTTGGGTTGGGACTCACCTTCAATGAAGTCACCCAAGACAGGGTACTTCTTCTTTGGCCATGGTTCAGGAATTATAAACCGCGCTCCAGATGTTTTGGGCTGCAAAACCCAGCCTTCCTAACCATTGGCCAAGCTGATGGGAGTTGAAGTCCAAAATATCTGGATGATAGAAGGCTGGGGAAGGCTTTGCTGTGCTGTGCTATTAGTAGCTATAGATGGCTGTTTGTACGTAGCTTTCATTCTCTCCATTAGCAATACTCTTTTTCCAGGCAATGATCACAGCATCATTTAACTCAATGCCCTGCTCTTTCCTCTGGCCTGACTCACTGGCACAGACCTTTTGGGAGGTCATTTGGCTCTAGTAATGAAGTATTGATCTTGTCACTTTGCTCTGCCCGAAGGTGCCAAGTAAGCTTTCCCAGGGGACGGAGTGGGGAGGGCTGCACAACTGGCCTCATCGGTCTGAATAAACATGATGCAGTTGCAAGGCTGCCCCTCTGTCTAACTAAATCATATCTGGCACTACTTGAGCCAGGTAGTGCAGAACACACTGTGAGGTGGGCTGAGTTTGGGGACGTGGGTGGATTCTACTTGCTTGCATAAGTATTTTGCTAATTTTATATGGTTGCATATGCCGCTTTCTGTCAAAGTTGATTCTGGGGTGCTTTACAACAATTTCAATAACAATATTGGCACACGGGGGCAGGGACACAAAGTGCAGACTCATGGCAGATCAGTTGAATCAAGTCAGATCTTCTGTCCTTCTTAGCCCAGCATTATGAACACTGACTGGCGGAAGCTCTCAGGGTTTTGGACAGGAGACTTCCTTAGCCCTACCTGTGACGCTGGGGATTGAACCAGGGACCTTGTGTGTGCAGCACAAGCGCTCTGCCACTAAGCTATGTCCCTTCCAGAAAAAGCAGCTCCAAACTCAAAGAGAGAGACTGCATGGGGAGAGCAGCCACAAGACCTGCCCTTTCCTGCAAAGGGAAATGACAGGTCAGTGATAACTGCCCCTCTCTGTTGGCTTTCCTTGCTGCTTTGTTGGTCTTTAGACAAAAAGGAAATGGCACCTTTGCTGTTCTTCCCCATGCCGCCTCCCTGAGAGGAAAAGCCATGCGCAGGTGTTCCAATAACCTTGGTTTTGTTTCTGAGAGTCCCCATTTGGGGGTGGTGATAGGGGTGGTGGTGATCATCAAAAATGAACATCAGCATGTAACATTGCGATCATTGTAAGATTGCTGAAGCTCTGGCATGACTGCCAATCCCTTGACAAATGTGTCAAGATGTTAGGAGGAATAACACTTTTCAAAGGACATGTGAACCCTCCAGGTGCAGCTACTAGAGGGAGTTCATCTGGCAGAGGGGCAGTGGGACTGGGGGGAAAGGCTAAGATGAACTTTCAGGCAATAGGAAAAGATTCTTCAGCACTATCTCATGCATGGATGATTATTACTTGAAATAATAATATCGTGTTGTAAGCCGCCCCGAGGTTTCAGCAAGGGGCGGCATAGAAATGTTATTATAATAATAATAATAATAATAATAATAATAATAATAATAATAATAATAATTTTTATTTGCTTTGCAAGCACCTCATCTTAGGTCCTGCTGAAGATGTGAGGTGGGACTGAACAGACTATAATCCAGCCTGCATCTCTTATCTGTGCTTGGGTCAATGTGAAGCGATGCCATTATACTCATTGAGGATGTTTTCAGCTGAACCTCCAGACTCCCTCACTTGGGTCTTTCTTCCTTCCCCTTCCCATTTCTTCTGCTAACTGAACTTTCTCTTTGTTGCATTCAGAGGATGAAATAGTATGCATGGCTGACTCCACAGCTACCATTGATGACATTGAAGGAGAGCTTTTCAAAATTGAGAGGATTCGGGAAGTCCTGGTGCGGAGAGAGTCAGAGCTGAGATACATGTGAGTTGGCAATTAGGACAACAGGGTGTAAATGAAAGGGTCCAGCAAGGAGCAAAGTTTCTGCAGGTGCAATCTTATCTCTTGCCCACTAAACTGTAAATTAGCAAAAGGTAGGTAGTTGTGGGAGTGGTCCTTCCTTCCAGCTCTGCTCAGCTTCCTTGGAGGTATCCCACCTGCACTTTTGAACTTGCAGTTTCTGTCTCACCATCTTCAAACTCTCACATTTTCCAAAGATATCTGAGCCTGTAAACACTCTCTTTAAATAGGCTGCAGGTTTTGTTGCATGAGAAAATTTCTCAGGAGAACCAGATAAATTCCTTTTCTCTCTCTGTCTGCTGGTTTTCTTAGGTTACATATGCCAGCTTCCTCGCAGCAAAATGTCAGATGGCCATGTTGATCTTAGCCTGGCAACCTGTGCAATGAAGTACATATAGGAGTTTCTGTGGAAAAGTCTCCTGAGATCAGAGAGGTTTGAAAAGAACTGGAGAGTTTATTCACCCTTCAGTCATGCAAATTCTGCGGATTACGAACACATGAAGTGGGTTGGTATATATCAGAAGTGGGTAACTTGTATACCAAAACATCTGAAAATTGCTAGCGTAGCCAGTGGTGAGGGATAATGGAATTTGTAGGCCAAAGCACTGGGAGGGGCACAAATTGCTCTTTCCTGCTTTACGTGTTTCTCTGAACCTCTTCACAAAGCCTGTGCATGCACACCCAGAGATGTTGTATCATGTGGATGTTGTACCTGGGGCCTCTCCCCTGCATGTTTAAAATTATTTGGTGACCCCTTCCATGTTTATGAGCCACAGAGTTTAGTATTCTGACATACTTAATATTTTTCCGTCCAGGTCACACTGGACAATTCCTTCTCTTTAAGAGCAAAATTAAGTCCAGAGGAAGCTGTGGGTTAACTTGGGAGTTCTTCCCTGTCATTCATCGATGTATCCATATTAGCTCTTCTAGTTCTTAGTGCTTTCTCTCACCCTCTCTCCATGAACATATCAGACCTGTGAAATTCTTTTCCAAATGGGTTAACTTTTCCTCTTAAAGCTTGTCATTCTGATTATCTTCAATACTTCCATGGTGGAGAAGGAAGTTATAACTGCTGGTAAGCTGACAGGTGCCTTCCCTCAGAAAGGCCTCAGGGCTTTCCCTGACCCAATCCCTGCCCACTTGTTCAGAAGCAACCTGAAAACCAGGATGCCAGAACCTGTCCTAACGCAGATGGGTTTGGAAGGTAAAGCATCCAGCACTCCTAGATGCATGTGGTGGTAGACCATGGCTGTTCTAGTTGGCTGTTGTGCACTTACAGTCATTGAGACAGTCTGTGTTCCATGAATTTGACTGAGCCATTGCCGTCTAAGCTAGTGGCCATCACAGTATCTGACAGTACAACTTTTCTTTTCAGCCCTGAATTTCTTGTAACTGAGTGAATTTACTCATATCCCCCCTTCCCCACAAATGAATGGGCAATGGGATAGAAACAAAACAAATTTGTGATGTGGATATTACTGAAAATGAACCCAAGTTTCATCCATCCCTACAAGGCACCAATAGAGTTCTTGCATGCCCATCATCATGTCTTTTGGGGCAGCTTTGGTTCCTGCTCTGGGGACATAATGATCCCAAGCACTGGGAAAGGGCAATACATGCAAGCTGATGACCTAGCTAGAATATCAAACGCTAAGACTTGTTGTGCATTTTTTCCAGACCTGTCTGTGAGACTGCAAAGTTCAGTGCAGAGATGGGGAAAGCATTTCATGCTCACCTTGTTCCAATGAGAAGGCTCTTTGCATTGATTCATGCACATGATAACTTCTGAGCTTTAATGCATGTGGCTAGCCTAGCCTGTGCCAAACCTACTGCAGCTAAGAATGACTCAGCTAAGCAAAGCTGGTAGACTGCAGTTTTGCACTCCTGTCCCAGTGTCAGAGAGGGGCATGGTCTTCATCAGAGGTGGTGTTGCTCTCTTTCATTTTACCTTCTCAAAGCATTTTTTCATTCCACCCTTCTAGCCCTTTAAGAATGCCATGGCCCTCTTGCCAAATGCACTGGGCTCTTATGGCCAGTTGCAAGGCACAGACATCAGAATCACAGAAGTAGTAGTGATAAAATAATTAGTGATGTGCCAGCAAGTCTTCCAAATATTTGTGATCACTCAATTTGAAAGAAAAGAAATTTCTTTTAAAAAGAACTTCAGAGGAGAAGACATGTTGGAGAAATGCTGAGGGTTCTTTCACTTGCCTTACATATGAGGAAATTGCATGAATGCCCTGCCTTTCATTGTACAATAAACTCTGTGGCTGCCTCGGCTTCCCACCTAGGGGGAGACTACATGAGGAAGTTCCTTCCATAGGGCTGTTCCAGGTTAGGAAGGAGAGGCAGCCTGAGAGGACCAATGGAGAAATGTGCAAAAGAGAGTCAAACACACAAAGTTCCCTGTGGCACCTCACAGGGATTAGGTAACATCAATAGCACCACCAAAATTAATTCATCGTAAATTATAAAATGCCCTGAGAGTAGGACAAAAAAGTGGAAGAGGAGAACTTTTAGGAAATTAGAGGTCAGGTTTTGGCACTGCAGTAGTTCAGCCTCTTCCATAGAGCTGGATGCAACAGCGCCATGTTCTCACACCTGCTGCAGAGCTTGCAGGAATGGAGCAGTATAATCCACATCTGCATTAAAGACAAGATGGATCCACAATCAACCCTCAGAAGTTTAGCATTTGGAAGAGCCTGGAGAAGGTGCTGAATCCTGAAGAACGACTGGAACTGACAAATTTTCTCAGACATTTTTCTCAGAAAGATCCTGAGCCTTTCATTTCTTACCCTGCTAGAAATAGAAGGCTACTGTAAGAATTTTCTCCACATTTTCTTCTCCATTATTTTTTGTGGTGACTGTATTACCTCTCCACAAACCCTCAGAAGCATGTTAGTTCTGGGGTATCATGGGGGATGCAAAATGGGGGCTAGGTTGCCAATGCAGTTGAAAGTGCAAAAAATAAAAACACTGGGGTGGGAGAGAAGTGAAGAAAAAAGAAAGCTGTGCTACAAATCTTGCTGGTGAACCATGCCTGTGAGAAATTGCTGAAGAATTTCATTTCTCCCTGAGATAATTTGGTGCAATTGTCCTCCCATATTGGTCTGCCCAAAAATAGGGTGGAGAATTTTCAAGAGGCCATTTGCCTCAACTCTGCTAACAGTGACTCCATTCTAGTTCCTGTCTGGTAGAAAATGTGAGTTCTTCATATGGTTATCAATTACAAAGCCAAACATGGGCCATGATCTCAGGGTAGAAGCATCCACAATTTTATAGGCATCTTTGGCAGGTCTGGAATTTCAAGAGGAACCAAAGCCAGACTCCTTGAGCTTTGCCTTTTTGGGAAAGTTTTAAAAAATTATGAAATGAGAATCATGATAGAACACAGTCAGTCAGATGAGGATAAACCCACCTGTAGCATCAAGCCCTTCTGTGATGGATGGAAGGACCTCCCATATTCTATTTTGTGTCATGGCCTTTTTCCCCCCATTTTTGACCCGACAGCAGGAGTTGTGTTTTCAAAGCAGTGGAGCGGGGAGATGAGACATTTCTATAGCTCTGATTTCCAAGCCAGAGCAGTCTTTATTTTATTCCAAGAACTGAATCACTCCATGGTAGCACTGACTGAGGCCTTGAGACTGTACCCAAGGATACATGTTCTGCACAGACTTCAGACGCCAGATAACAGTACTCTTGGCATAGAGAAAGGAGAATAAGAGACCTTATTTAGAAGGGCAGAGAAAGGCCTTTTTCTAGATCTAGATATTATCTTAAGTCAAGTATCTCAAGTTGGCTTAGCCTTAGAAGTTTAATTTCTATATTTCTTAAAACATTTATTGACCATTTTCCATTGTTCAAAATGGCTTACAACAAGAAATTAAAAACATATAGGTTAAAAGCAACTACAATACCATTCAACAATCCAAACTAAACAGCCACAAAATATCATCACTCAAAAGCTAATCTTTAAAACAGGTCTTTCAGACATTGCAAAAAGAGAACAAGAGTGTTGTCCTGCCTTTAATACTCTACAGTTTGGAGTGACTACTGTAAAGTATCATCTGCTGATCTATTGATGTTCACACTTGAAAAGCTGCTGACTAGACCTTGACAAGCAAATGCATTGCAGAGATAGTACATGAGGCATGATGATCCCAAAGCATGTAAAAGGTAATGCCTTACATTGAACTCAGAAGCAAATTGACAGTCATTGGAACTGTCTTGACATGAAACAAATTGATTATGATAATCTCCTTCTGTGCCTATTAGACGTCCTGTACAGGCAAAGCTTCTGAGTCATCACCAAGGGCAGCCTCATATAGGTTGCAGTGCAGCAATCAAGCCTGGATGTTATGGAAGCATGGCTCAATGTAGTAAGGCTTCATCTGTCTGAAAAAGGGAAAGACTGAAAGTAGAAAAAGATAAATTTGATAACAGCTCTAACTAGCTTTTCAGAATACAGAATACATGGCCCAGGAGTATGCCATGGCTCTTAATCTGATGGCAGTGGGTTATAGAAATCCCACTGTTCACAGTTCTTGTCTCTTCCATCCAAACAGATTTGTTGGTTGGTGTCTGCCCACCTGCAAGGTCGTTACAGATTTAGCAAAATCATCCACCAGCATTTTTGAATTTGGTGTTACGACAATGCAGTCCTGCTAATGCATTAATTGCCTTTTCCTCCCAAGTATTCCTGACATTTAATGAATGATCCCACACAGCTGCCCACACTGGAGACTCTTCAAGTGACCCTGTGCATTTCTGTCTTCTAACAAAGAAACCACTTTCAAAGCAGCCTGGTCTTGTCCTCCCACCAGAAAGAAAGCTTGCAGGAAAAAATCCTTGCCTTCTTCGGTGAAGGTTTTGCCCATGGTGGAAAGCTCTTTTTATATTCTCTGGAAACAGTCTGGCCCTTGGAACAGCATAACACAGCTGCAGAGTTGGAGCATCCAACTTCT